ACGGTAGCAATATATCCCATACCAGTCCAGAATGAAAGTCTGACATAAATCAGCCAATAGAACTCTATATAACGAGTCCCCACCCAAGTTGCTTTCATAAACTAAGTCCTAGGGCTTAGTGTTGCTTTTATATAAGCCATCTATTCAAACAGTCATAGGTATTAAATATAGCAATCAAAAAAATAAAGATGGAGGAGCTTCCACGCTGTATAATTTGTCAGGTTGGGCACGGACTCTCTATTAGGTCACAGTGTTCTTTTTAAATATAGATTACTGTTAATGACAGTATTTGTGATTCTAGTTTAATTCAACCTGCTAAGACTAATTGCCAGTGAAATCAATAGCAGTCTAGCCAACAGAGTTTTCATAATGAAGACTTCCAGAGTTCCTGACAAAATACACACTCTTGAGTGGCCTTCTTCTGTCCTTCAAGGACATGACACCAGTATCACAGGGTGGGTGACAAGCAAACACCAGCCACCAATACCAAGTCTTAGGACCACTGACCAAAAGTGTTTCTTTAGTAAATGGCAGCTGAAATCCTATTGCGCAACTCCCCATGCCCAACGGAGATGATGTCATCATTAGCAGCAAACTAAAAAGGATGAAAAGTGAGTGTAGGATGCAAGTAACTCATACGTAATCTCATGAATTTGCTACACCCAGAAATCTCCCACAAATATTTTTTATTTTGTCCCTAGAGGTGGGCATAAGCTGTCGATTCGTCGGTTCGTCCTTCAGATGAATGAGCGTTCAGCACTTCCCAGCACTGCCTCCCCCAGTGGGTGCTCTGAGGCAGTGTCCGGAGGAGGTGGGGCAGGAAAGCTGGGATGCGGCCTGAGTGAAGGAGGCGGGGCTGGAAAGCTCGGAACACCTGTTCCTCCAAAGGAAAAACCAGCACGAACTGCCGAATCAGTTTGTGCCCATCTCGATTCGCCCCGGCTCACAATATATTCACCATTGGATGTATGGTGCTGCACAACGGGATTTCAACCTGCATGTCATAAACACACTCTTACAAACAGCTGTCATTAAGTAGATCAGAATCAAAGCAAGCTGTTAACGGTTCCCTTTCCTCTGACATTTTACTGAGTTGACCTGGGCATCTCATGCCGCAGAAGGCGACCAGTCGACTTACGTTTCCATCGCTCCTCTGTCCTCCTTTGTGGGTTATGACGACCACCTCCATCCATTTGCGCAGGTGTTGCTGCAAGGAAATCCAAGAATGAGTTACTTCCTACCATCTCCCGACGTCTACTAGCCAAGAAAGCGGGCATGGTCCGTGCAATTACTGACAATAATTATTGACAACAGTATTTAAGACCATGGTGATATCTCAGTCATTCTGGGTTTTAATTTAGTCATTTTGGTCTTTCTTACTTGAGGAGGCAGGATTGGTTTTTTGTTTGTTTGTTTGAGGGTGCTGATGGCTTGTATCCAAAAAAAGGTTTTATGCCAAATCGTCTTGTGATGCCTTAAGGGCTGAAGTGTTTTATTTGACATGTTTCATTCATGGACTTCAGCCCACATCCTTAAATGCCATTGAGTTTTGAATCTTTGTCCAAATAACAGCCGCTAAGAAGGTCCTCTACCCTTGTCATAACCTGTAAGAAATTTGCACGTACGCCTGAATGTAGAAAATATTCTAATAAATGTTCCTATCGTACGTCGTTTCAGACCAAGTAACTTCTCTGGATCACTACACACTAAGACCCCTCAAGCTCACCAGGACCACCATTCTCTCTGCAATCATGTTCTTTTTTTCTCATGGGACAGATATACCATAAAAAACAAGGTTGTATCAATATGCCTTCTTGGCCTGTAACCCACCACATCCCGATTGACAACTTCAAGGAAACATTTTGAGCCAGAGAGGAAGCTAATTTCTACTGAAGTTAGTTTTTACAACCTCGCATGCTGCCTTTTAGTAGGTGTGGCTGGGATGACTGTCAATCTATCCAGCACTAACCAATCATTCCTTCCCACCTCTGAATTGAAAGAGACAGTATTTGTGTGAGACAGTATCTCTGCTGAGTGTTCTCTTCCCTTCTCTTTCGTGTGTGAAAGGCAGTTGTGGGTTTGCTGTCTATCTGTTCACAACTGTAAGTAATGAAGCATTTTTAGTCGTTCTCCTACAAATGTCAGAGTGAGTTATTGAGAACTTAAGTGCCAAGTAATGAAAAAAAAATGGGGTGGGATATCTGGGGGATGTGTAGCTATTATCCCCCGTGAGTCTCTTCACTTGTACTGCATAGCAAAGAAATTCTACTTAAGTGCCAAGAAATGAAAAAAAAAGAGGGTGGGATATCTGGGGAATGTGTAACTATTATCCTCGGTGAGTCTGTTCACTTGTACTGCATAGCAAAGAAATTCTAACAAGGAATTCGAAACTCTGCAACCATCGCTTCCCGCCACCAAAATTGAAGCCTAACTCCAGCGTGACCGTCACTGAGCAAGACTGAATGGCTGGAATCCAACTTATTGGAAAACTGTAGGGCGACATGATCAAGGTTTTAAATATCTACCGCCTGGGTTATCTGGACCAGCAGTTGGGGGAAGGTGGGGCACATGCACGAAGGGGCACTCATGTGGGCATGCGGGCACTCGCATGCATGCACAAAGGGGCAGCGGGTGCTCGCGGGGGGCACGTGCGCACTCACACACATGCACAAAGGGGCTGTGCAGGGGAAGTGGGAGATCTATCTCTGCAGCCCAGTCCAGCCCAGGCTGCGGACCCCTGGTCTGGACACCCCCTTCTCTGCAGACCACAAAAAAACAAAAGTAGGCTTCCATTCTCTGTCTGTTGGGGAACAGCCCATCGAGTAATGGGATTTGCTTGTGTTAGAATTCAAACTGTGATAGGAAGGGAACTGAGGATTGGTGGAGAGACAATAGGCTGCTAAATAATGACTGGTGGTGTCTGTAATGCCTGTTAGCAGGAATTGGCAGAGAGAAAATATACACACAGAGAGACAACAGGCTGCTAAATAATGACTGATGGTATCTGTAATGCCTGTTAGCAGGAATTGGCAGAGAGAAAATATACACACAGAGAGTGGGGGATAAGCAGAAGCTGAAGTAGGAGAAACTGTCCTGGACTACAGTAGAGGAATGGCCAGGGAAAAGCCACTGGTTCTACAACAGGGCTGGAGAAAAAATGAAGCCTGCAGGCTATATATGGTGAATGGCCAGGGAAAAGCTACTGGTTCTACAATAGGGCTGAAAAAAAAATGAAGCCTGCAGGCTATATATGGTTCTCTGAGCCCAAATGCAACAGCCACCACCTTTGGGGCCTCCAGGAAGCCCCCCCCCCCAACACATTCACACAAATATGTTTTGTGCATGTCCTCTGGATGCACGGGGCACCCTGGAACCTTCTCACACACACCGCTCAAATATTAAAAAATTTAAAAAATGGCCACTAGAAGGCACCAAGATGACCTTTTCCTTAGAAACCACTTATTTTTCTATGGAAAAAATGGGGAAGGGAGGTTATGGGAGAAAAGTGGTGGTTGGACTCTCCGAGGTCAAGGAATGGGACTGTGCACCAACTACAGAGATCGCTCGTCCCTCTTCTATAATGTCAAGAGCCAAGACTGCACTTGCGGACTTCTCCTTTCTTATGGGGAGCAGGGCAGTGGGAGCCCCCATTCCTGAACAGCTCCTTGCCTGCAGGAACAAGAACAGAGGCCGATGCAAACCCCACTTTCCACAGCTGTAAACGTTTATCGAAACAGTCCAACCCATTTGTGATTCCTTATCGGAAAAGGAAAAGAGGCACCCTCCAAGCTGGAGTTCGCTCGCCGTCAAGGAAGGCAAAGCCAGATCTGTTCGACAGCTGTGTGGCTTTCGGTCCAAAACACCCCGTTTCGAGATTCTTACCATCATCTGATCGCAAAACTTATCGTTAAAGGAGTTCGGGAAGAGCCTCGTCACGGAGGTGAGACGGTTCACCACGTTGAGGGTCAGGCTTCGGTAGTCGCCCAGCATCATGAGCAAAGGTCTCATGTGCGTGTGGATCTGGTCAACCTCGATCGTCGCCCCCTCCAAAAACTGCAAGGAAACAAAGCAGGCACTGACGTGAGAAGCCTCTGCATTCACGACTTTATCCTAGCTGTGCTTTAGGGCTGCACACTCAATGAGCCACGCAGCATGACCCCGCTGACCCTAAGGGCCAAGTTTGGGCAAGTTCACCCCCTTTTTTTGGAGAACAGTAAGAGCTTTAATTCCTCAAAATGCAACTTTTTCCAAACTCTGCACCATTGCAGCTTCTCATAAACGGCTTTTCTAAGCGGTAGAGGAAATCTGCACATCCTGTACTGCAATTTGCCACCAACCTGAGTAAAACAAGCGAAAATAAAGAAGACCTGGGCTGCCTAAAGTGCTCATTTTAGAAAATCATCATCATCCTCTGCCGTCAGGGCAATTCTGACTTAGGACGACCCTTCTCAGGGTTTTCCAGGTAGAGGATACTCAGGAGTGATTTACCCTTCCCTTCCTCTAGGGGGCAACCTTGGGACGGTGCAGCTTGCCCAAGGCCACCCAGGCTGGCTCTACTCGCAGGACCCACAGTGGGGGAATCGAACTCCCAACCTCTGGCTCTGCAGGGAGAGACCAAAAACCACTGAGCTATCCAGACAGCGATATCCTAAACCAATATATCCTGAGAGCCAACTATCCTGAGAGCCAACTTTCCTCGCCTGGTGCCCTCCAGATGTTTTGGACTGGGCTTCCCAGCGTTCCTCCCAACTGGGAATGCTGCTGCTCAGCATTTATGGGAGCAGAGGGTCCCAGACACTTCTACCAGGGGTTTCCCCGAGAAGGAAACAGTAAGAACGAGCACCTCCCTCGAGGAAAGCAGCTCTCTTCCCTTAGAAGCTGAAGAGCCAACTTTCCTCACCTGGTGCCCTCCAGATGTTTTGGACTGGGCTTCCCAGCGTTCCTCCCAACTGGGAATGCTGCTGCTCAGCATTTATGGGAGCAGAGGGTCCCAGACACTTCTACCAGGGGTTTCCCCGAGAAGGAAACAGTAAGAACGAGCACCTCCCTCGAGGAAAGCAGCTCTCTTCCCTTAGAAGCTGCAACTATGGAGAAAACTGCTGAGTGGGTTCAAGGGCCCAACTGCAGGGGGTAGGGATCAGCCATGAAACCAACGGATCCAAGGGCACAAACCCTCCCCCTGTCAACACTCTGCAGCCTGAAGGGCTCATCCGCTGAGCAGGGAGACTCTCCGTCCCGCCTCCGACAGCAAAGACGTTGCGTTGACTCCTTACCGTAACCTTTTTTTAGATGCCCAAATCCTATCACCAGGAGTTTGGAAAATTAATGTATTTTTTCCAAATCCTTTAAGAAGTCTTCGGCTTCATTACCAGGGGGGGAAAAACCCACACTCATCTCCAAAATGAGGTAAAGGTAAAGGTTCGCCTTGATATTTTTAGTCCAGTCGTACCCAACTCTAGCGCGTGGTGCTCATCCCCGTCTCCAACCCATAGAGCCAGCGTTTGTCCGTAGACAGTTTCCGTGGTCACGTGGTCAGCGCGACTAGTCACAGAGCGTTGTTACCTTCCCACCGAGGCAGTCCCTATTTATCTACTCACATTTTTACATACTTTCAAACTGCTAGGCTGTCAGGAGCCGGAACAAAGCGACGGGAGCTCACTCCGTCGCATGGATTCGATCTCATGATGGCTTGACTTCTGACCTTGCAGCCCAGAGGCTTCTGCGGTTTAACCCGCAGCGCCACTACGTCCCCTCTCCAAAATGAACCCCGTACCTATTGTCTGTCCCAATGCCTTTTAAAACTCTCCCTTTCATTCTGAGCTGCATAACAACTAAAGGCAGCCATCAACCGTCCACCTCAGCAGTTTCGGGACTGTCATTAGACACACATTCACGTGCCTTTACAACTTCAAGATCAACAGCCCACTCCTTCAGATTACGGGACCAGTAACAGCACGCCATCGCCAAAGCACCTTAGGGGGGAAAATTGCTCCCAGCTTCTTAGGTGGAGGGACGTGTTTGTGAGACAGTGGGAAAGATGGTGCCATGAATACGTCAGCCCTCTCTCCCTTCCAAAACACGGGCCCATTAAACCTGCACCGTGCAAACGTGGATCTCGACAGAGCAGCCATTAATTCCAATAGCAACTGAGTTCCCTTGTTCCTTCGGTGGCCCAGAAAAAAAAAGAAAGAAAGAAACAGTCAATACAAAGGAGCGTTGTTTCAATCAGCGCTACCAACCTTTCTCATGCAAGCCTCTCCGGCCTCCTGCAGTTCATTGTTTGTTGAGTTAAGTGCTTTGAAAAGCGCGGCAATGATTTTCTCCCTGGACTGTGGCAAGTAATTGCAAGCAGCTAAGGCATCTGCAAAAATCAAAGGGAAATTAGGCTTCCTTATTAACTGGGAATCCAAAGCGGAGGGAGAAAGGAGGCTTTGTTTTCCTTTCCAGGCGACAGCGCCTTTGATTTCTTCCAAAAGCGTCACAGGCTCGGCCAGCAGCAACAGGCAGCCGCGGGAGAAGGGGAAAGAAAGGAGGAAAGGAAAAAAATATAATTTAGCACTTTTATGAGCAGTCCGGGTCCAAAGAACATTTAGAATTCCGGACCACTGCTGTGCCTGAAGAGAAAAAGAAAACATTCTGAAAAGGGGGGGGGGAGGACCTTGAGGTGGATCCAGACAAAGTTACGGACCATTTCTGCTAACAATAAATAATGATTAGGTACTGTCAAGAATTAGGGTGACTTCTTCCAGGATATTCTAGGCATAAAGTACTCAGAAGTGTTCACCAGCTGATCGGTCTCCTACCTACCTACCTACCTACCTACCTGTTTCAACCTACTGTTGTTGTTTAGTCATTAAGTCGTGTCCAACTCTTCGTGACCCCATGGACGAGAGCACACCAGGCCCTCCTGTCTTCTACTGCCTCCCGGAGTTTGGTCAAATTCATGTTGGTAGCTTTGAGGACACTGTCCAGCCATCTTGTCCTCTGTCATCCCTTCTCCTCTTGCCTTCACACTTTCCCAACATCAGGGTCTTTTCCAGGGAGTCTTCTCTTCTCATGAGATGGTCAAAGTACTGGAGTCTCAGCTTCAGGATCTGTCCTTCCAGTGAGCACTCAGGGTTGATTTCCTTCAAAATGGGTAGGTTTGTTCTCCTTGCAGTCCAGGGAACTCTCAAGAGCCTATACAACCTATACATTGAGCCTATACCCAACCTATACAGCACCCCATAGTGCTTGGAGAACTCTCAGGGAGGGTTACAACAAGGACCACTCTGCCCTTCTGCTCATTTTACTGACCTCAGAAGGATGGAAGGCTGAGTGAACCTTGAGCTGTCTACCTGAACCTGCTGGGATCAAACTCTAGCCATGAGCAGAGGCTAGACTGCAGGACTGCAGTTTAATCACTGTGCCAAAAGGTTCATTCTGGCCTTATCTTCTGGGGTTGCTCTAGGACTGCATAGCTCTCCCAAGGGCACACAGCCTGGCTCTTCTCTCAAGAGGTACAGCGGGGAGTTGATCTCTTTGATTTTTAGCTCCACCACCAGATACTCCAACACACTGAATTATCTACCCAGTTACCAAAGTACTTCACAACCGCCATGGTTGAAACCATCACCAACCGCATCCTCAAGACGTTGGTCTAATTCCAGTTTGAAGCCATCCACGTTGGCAGCCAGCCCACCGTTGCATCCCATGGTAAGGAACTCCAGGGTCTAACTCTGCAAAGGACGTGAAGTAGTTCCTTTGATGTGGCATCAATGCTCCCATCAGTCAGTATCATTGGCTCAACCCCTAAGGGCAAGGCCTGCTAGTCAGAGGAGAACCACCAAGGGACAAGATCAAGAAATCATACATAATCATCATCAGGATCATGTGCCGTCAAGTCAATTCTGACCTATTCAACCCTTTTTAAGGGCATACTTGGAAGTGGTTTCCCATTCCTTTCTTCTGGGGCAGCTTGCTCAAGCGCTCACAGGCTGGCTCTTCTCACAAGAGACGCAATGGGGGAATCGAACTCCCAGCCTCTGGCTCCGTACCCAGAGATCTAAACCACTGAGCTCCTAAACCACTGAGCTACCTCGCCAGCTATCCATGTCCATATCCATATTTCCATATACAGTGGTGCCTCGCATAGCGAAGGTTAATCCATTCCGGATTAACCTTCGCTATGCTGAAGCATCGCTGAACGAAACCCTTGAGGGCAAGGACGGCTTGCCAAGGCATGGTAGTCAGAGAGCCACCGAGGGACAAGATCAAGAAATCATACATAATCATCATCAGGATCATGTGCCGTCAAGTCAATTCTGACCTATTCAACCTTTTTTTAAGGGCATACTTGGAAGTGGTGTCCCATTCCTTTCTTCTTGTGCAGCTTGCTCAAGCGCTCACAGGCTGGCTCTTCTCACAAGAGACGCAATGGGGGAATCGAACTCCCAGCCTCTGGCTCCGTACCCAGAGATCTAAACCACTGAGCTACCTAGCCAGCTATCCATGTCCATATCCGTGTCTCCATGTATCTCCATATCCACATATCTCTATATCTCTATCCATATCTATATTCATGTAATTCAGTCACTGCTTAGCTAGCTGTTCCAGAAGACAAAGACAGCAGCCCATGGGCTTGTACATAAAGCAACCCTTGAATCATCATGTCCAGAACAGGGAACACAGCGTACCATATTAACTTAGCTCAAGCTCTTGCTGGCAGCAAATAAACTTTAGGAGAGACTTTTTTTTCTTTTTCTTTTTGAAGCAGGGTCTAAGAAAGGCGGAAGCCCCCAACCATGTGTTATGGAGAAGAGGGCATGGCCATCTGGGGAAGTCCAGGTGACCAGATTCTTCCCTTCCAGGGGGGGGTTTGTCAGATTACAAGTTCTGCTTATTAGAGATGGGCATGAACCCTCGGTTTGGTGATTGGTGCTGGTTCAGCAGACGGCTGAACAGGTTAAGCGTTCCACGGCTCAGCACCCCGCCTGCTCCGGCAGGCGCCCATTCAGAATCGGCATCCGGAGGAGGTGGGGAGGGAAAGTTGGAACACGCTGATTCTGGGTGGGTGACCCCCAGAGGGGGGGCGGGCAAACCTTTTGGCCCTCTGCCCAATCAGCATGAACCGCTGGTTTGTGGCCCTCTCTAATGACCATGTGTGCATCCATATGACATCATTCCGTCCCTGCTCAGCCAGATGTTCCAGAAGACAACAGAGCATCCGATGGGGTTCCACGTATCAAACCCCCCTTTTAAAAAAAAACACCATCTTTCAACATCTGCTACCTGAACATATTGCAACTATATTTAAAGCGGTTTGGACTTACTCAATGCTGCGATTCGAAGAGGAACCAGGGAGGGAAGGCTCTTATAGCATGGCAATTTCATCAAGGCACTGTCTTCCGCCTCGCACAAATTCAACAGCTAGAAATAAAGAAACAAAGGGTTTAGCCCTCTAACCATTTTCAGAGGGGCTGGTCCCGTTACCGCCTCGGTGGCAAATTTCTCCGAGTCCCGAGACTAACTCTGACTTCAAAATTGCTTTGCCAATTATCATCATAAGACACTCCGAAGCAGAACGTATCTCAAAATATTCAGTGTTGCATTTCAAAAGGCTCCCCAATCACTGTCCATTTGTTTCCGTGCAAGTACGTTATTACCGCCTGCCCTGTAATTACTTCGGGCAGTTCGCGTTGATTTAGAGATACATAGAGACAAATTCTGAACAATTACGAAAGCCAGCTCATCTGCATCATCCAACCCCCGTTTCCCAACGGACTCTCCTATCAAATGGACCCCATGCCGCCCTTAACAGGGATCATCCCAAATTCCTAGCCGGTCACATTAAAAAAACAAGAATTCTGTTTCATCTTACAGAGACCCTGTTATTAGAAAAATAAAAGACGTTTGATAGGAGCAAGGGGAAAACCCTTTAAGGAAACCTTGGCAAAGATAAAATAGGGATAACTAAGCCAGAAACAGGGAGCGACAGGCAGTACGTAAGATGCACCCCATACTCCTAGTAATCAGATCTGTTCAGTTTTTCCCCACCTCGTTTTGGGGGGGGGATATTTGGAGCTCTTATGGGGTGGAGGGTGTCATTAAGTGAAGAATTCTGCTTTCTTAATTTTTCTTAATTTTTTTTCCTTATTAAGAAATGGAGAAAAGAAATCAAGTTTCTTCATTTTTCATTACTGCAGATGGAAGTCCTGGGGGGGGGCAATAAAAGGATGCCCCAGGGTCCACATAACGGTCGGTTCTAGTATAAACTTTATAATATCCATGTGTTACAAAAGAAGAATGATCACAGCTCACTTCTGTCCCCTGAAAGGCTGTAAGTCTTAGATAAATACAGTGGTGCCTCGCTTTAGGATTGCCCCGCATTACGACGAAACCGCATTATGATGATCTTTTTGCGATAGCAATTGCGATCGCAAAACGATGGTCTGAATGGGGTTTTTTCGCTTTGCGATGATTGGTTCCCTGCTTCGGGAACCGATTCTTCACAAAACGACGATTTTCCTCCAGCTGATTGGCGGTTTCAAAATGGCCGCCGGGTAACTAAAATGGCTCCTCGCTGTTTTCTGGGACAGATTCCTTGCTGCACAGGCACCGAAAATGGCCGCCCTATGGAGGATCTTCGCTGGACAGTGAGTTTCCAGCCCATTGGAATGCACTGAAGGGGTTTCAATGCGTTTCAATGGACTTTTTATTTTCGCATTACGTTTTCGTTCTACAGCGATTTCGCTGGAACGAATTAACATCGTAATGCGAGGCACCACTGCATTCTCAAGATGACACCCAAAGAGTCAAGGTTAAGAGCAACAGAGAGAGGGTCATGTAGACCAGTGGTTCCCAACCTCAAGTCCTTAGACTTTTTTTGGACTAAAACTCCCAGAGGTCTTCATCACCAGCTGTGCTGGCCAGTTCTGGGAGTTGTAGTCCAAGAACACCTGGGGACCGAAGCTTCAGAAGCGCTGATTTAGATGCACGCCAGGTACCTCCGTATAGAATACTTTGTGCTCCATCACATTGAGATCCATAGTGAAAAGCCTGGGCTGAAGGGTGGTGCAGAACGTGTTCCCTTCCATCAAACCAATCTGAGCGTTGGCAGGCTGGTGTCTCAGCAGGTGCTTCTTCGGAGGAACCATGTCTTGGAGGACCTAAGAAAGAGACAGCTGAGTTAGGTCAGCTCTGCACAGCTTGAACATCGCCAGCCCAAATTCCACGCCATCCCTATCCACACAAAAAGTCTCAAAACAAAACAACGCAGGGCTATCGGGGAAAAGACTGGGATCTAACCAATCCCCCTTGAACTAGCTGACCTTCTACTTGCAAGGTGTTCCTTGTTGGTGCTGTTGTTACTAATAAATCATAACCGTCACTTCCAGCTATCCCCAAACTCCGAAGACAACAACGGTACATAGCGGTGGTTTCCCAATCTTGGGTCTCCGGATGTTCTTGGGACTCCAACTCTCCAAAATCCTGAACAGTAAAGCTAGTGGTGAAGGCTTCTGGGAGTTGTAGTTCAGGAACAGCTGGGGACCCAAGGTTGGGAACCACTGGTATAAAGAATTGGAGACAGGCAGTAGTAAGTCTCCATCCATCCAGGTGAATCTGGATAAAACCACTTCTCAAGCAGATTCCTTAAGTTTCCAGTCTCCATTTAAGGGCTGAAGTACCTCCCATCTCCCTGGCCTTAACATCTGGCCAGGATGATCTCTGAGCTTTTCCCATTCTATTATTCTCACCTCCTGGCAAATAGAAGGGGAAGACATGGAGGTAGTGACAGATTTTACATTCTTGGGCTCCATGATCACTGCAGATGGTGACAGCAGTCACGAAATCAAAAGGCACCTGCTTCTTGGGAGGAAAGCGATGACAAATCTTGACAGCATCTTAAAAAGCAGAGACATCCCCTTGCCAACAAAAGTCTGAACAGTCAAAGCTATGGTTTTTCCTGTAGCGATGTATGGAAGTGAGAGCTGGACCATAAAGAAGGCTGACCGCGGAAGAACTGATGCTTTTGAATTGTGGTACTGGAGAAGACTCTTGAGAGTCCTCTGGACTGCAAAGGGAACAAACCTATCCATTTTGAAAGAAATCAACCCTGAGTGCTCACTGGAAGGACAGATCCTGAAGCTGAGACTCCAATACTATGGCCATCTCATGAGAAGAGAGGACTCCCTGGAAAAGACCCTGATGTTGGGAAAGTGAAGGCAAGAGGAGAAGGGGACGACAGAGGATGAGATGGTTGGACAGTGACATCGAAGCGACCAACATGAATGTGACCCAACTCCGGGAGGCAGTGGAAGATAGAAGGGCCTGGCGTGCTGTGGTCCATGGGGTCACGAAGAGTCAGACACGACTAAAGGACTAAACAACAACAGACACACTCAGCCTAAGGAAGAGTTTTGGAGGATTCGAAGCTTTCTTTCTTGAATGCTATTTCAGCAGGGCGGTCAATCTATCTCCCGAGTCTGCTTTTTTCATTATGCGGTTCATTCCGCCAGCTCATGGGTCGCATCCACCAGGTAGGCCTTGGGGAAGGAACAGGGGCCTCACCTCTTTATGTGGCTCCATGATCACAGTGACGCTTTTCCCCGTGACTTGGGCGAGGACTTGCAAAGAGTGCATCGCCTGCTTCCGCACGGTGGAATTTGGAGAGGTCACTTCCCGCACCAAGTCATGGGTCACGTGGTGGAAAGATTTCTCCTGGGCGGTGAGGATGTCTTCCGTCTTCTCCTCATCCTTCAGAGGCGTCGCGCACCGGATCAAGAGCTGCTCGAGGGTGGTTTTGGCCATCGCCACTGCTCCGTTCGAGACCTACGCCAAGGGCAGTTCAATTAGGGACCAGTAACGGAAGGGACTCTCAGTCAACCAGGCTGTCAACCACATCGCAAAGAAAAGGCTGGCTCAAGAACAGATTAAAAGGCTTTGCAGTTCAGCGACAGACCGAATGCTGCGCCGATCAATTGCAGTAGCTAAGAATGACTCTGCTTTTGATCATTCCCAAGGCACAAGGGCTTCAAAAGCCTCAGCTGTTAAGCCCAAAGTGCTGGAAGCAGAGTTTATTACAAAATTTCATTCAATAAATTTTAGTTCCCATGGAAAATCTTGTTCATCCATCCCCAGAGTGTTCTTCACGCCCTTGTTCCATCACTCTGAAATGCTGCTAAGTAGCCCCTTAAAGTCCCTGGTATTCTACGCAACCTAGTGTTTAGACACACATTTTATCAAAGAGAAAAAAAGCTAGCGCAACACATAATGATTCTGTTCCAAACTTGACTTATGGACCATCCTTGTATCTCTCTGGAAAACAAATCCTTTCTATCCTTGCCTTCATGATGATGAAGGGATTTGTTGACACGAATATCAGGGTTCCCGTTTCGCCAAAAGGTTGTCAACCACCGTTTAAGGACGTTAAGGGTAGATTTGAACGGGGAGGTCCAGCTGTCCAAAGCAACTGACCGTACGCCCTAAATCTGTTGGGAACATACCTCTCCGGTGAGGTCCATCATGACAAACAGCAAGGCCTTGAGGAAAGTCTGCTGGTTCTGAAGCACCCAAATGAGAGGCAGCCGTTCCATGAGAAACTTAATCGACACCACGCCGCCCAGCTTGGCGTACCAGGCTTGCTCGTAGCAGCAGGCGCAGAGACGTTCCACGATGTAGGAGAACAACGGGAGCTGGCAAGCCTAGAGGGGAGGAAGAAATCCGCACAGATGTGGATCAGACAGCCAAGGGTACAAGAAGCGGGCACTAGCTGCACGCTTTGGCACATAACCAGTCACGCACAGAGTGGAAAACTAGGGGAACCATCAGGTTCACCAGAGAGAGAGAGAGAGAGAGGCCACTGGAAGAAGAAAATGGCCACACAATGGACAGCCCTTGCCAACCGATTTCTCCAACAAGATGCACTGGGAATGTTAGCTGTACCTAGGTGTGATTCAGGGGACACGTAACCGTGGTCCCTGCATTAGGGAAAAAGCAGGTTACAAATACAAATCAATCAGTGGGCCCCAATCTTGGGTCGCCTGGGTGTTCTCGGACTGCGGCTCCCAAAAAGCCTGGCCGGCACAGCTGGTGGCTAAGGCTTCTGGGAATTGCGGTCCAAGAACGCCCGGGTGACCCAAGGTTGGGGACCACTGAAATAAACCCATCAACGGGACACAAACCTACTTGAGTCAATGGGAGGAATACACTAGGGCAATGCATATACAGTGGTGCCTTGCTTAACGAGCGCACCGTTTAACGAAGAATCCGCGTAGCGACCCATTTTTTTGGGGTCGCTAATGCGATTGCATTGCGAGGTTTAGATAGGCTAAACATCGCATTGCGATAATTTCTGCACCCGGCGACCATTTTGGGAACAGCTGATTGGCGGTTCCAAAATGGCCGCCGGGTGAAGAAAAGGGCCGCCCGCACCATTTTCGCGCCCTGCCCTAGCTTACCAAGGGTGCAAAAATGGCAGCACTATGGAGAAACTTCGCAGAACGGTGAGTTTAAGAGCCAAAGGAACGCATTATGGCATTTTCTGTTCCGTATAGCGATGTTTCCCCATAGCGACGGTTAATCCGGAACGGATTAACCTCGCTATGCGGGGCACCACTGTATCTTGAAATGCATGCGCCTTTCAAAAAATACATTGCAAGGAAGGGTTAAAAAAGGGGGGGAAGACATGCATGGACCAGCTTGAAATGCATGCGCCTTTCAGAAAATACATTACAAGGAAGGGTTTTTAAAAAGGGGGGGAAGACATGCATGGACCAGGTGAGAACGAGGAAGTCCAAGAATGTAGCTCAAGCCGATGTGCATAGGTCCGGCTCCCTCACCCTTTCCTTCGATCCCAGGATGATGCTGGCAACGTCGTTCATCACCGCTAGCGCCACCTCCCCTATTTTGCAAAGCTCCTTCTCCTCATAGGCCATGCAGATGGCGATGGCATCAATCAGCACCAAGGGATCCATGCCTTTCGATCCGTTTTCTTCGCTATGAAACATGGCGGTGCTAGGCTGGCTCCCAACCTGGTAACACTGAAGCAAGAAAGGGCCTGGAATATACCGGGGGAGAGAGAGGGAGAGAGAGAGAGAAATTGAAGCAAGAAAGGGCCTGGAAGAGAGAGAGAGAGAGAGAAAAACAAAGGGGGGAAAGATAAGCAAACGTAAGATTCTTCAACTAGACAAGATTACACAAGCAAGCCTACTTGTACAGGAACAAGAATTCAGCCACTGACATTTCGGTGCACACTGCTCTTGAACATGGAGGTTCAACGTAGCCATTTATTTTACATTTCCTTATTAGCTTTCTACCCTGCGCCATAGCTATCACTGCTAATTCTAAAGCTGCCTAGGTCAATCAGCTGTTACCAAATTAAGGGAAGGGGAAATTCCATAATCCTGCATGGTGCGAAGAAGCACTTTATTCTGCCTGCTGCCTTAAACTTTCTGCCAGACCGTTCCATTAAGCAACGTCACGCCTTTACTGCCTCCCGAGTTCTGGTGGTGTGGTCAGGAAGCATCCTCTTCCTTCATATGCAAAAACTTAACGGGGTTCTATCAAAGGGGCAGAAAATGTCCTGTCCTGAAGCCACATGGTGCACTTAGTATTATTTTAAAAAAAAAACTCTTGGGTCGTTATCACTCCAAGCCTCCATAGAACCAACTTCCCTAGCAAACCCTGAATGGACGAGGAGAAGACACAGGGAATAGGAGAACATTGGAAGGTGTCAGACCCTTTGCCCATTTAGCTCTTCTGACGGCAGCAGAAGAGTTTCGGGGAGAACTCACTCCTCGCTCTGCAAGGAAATTGTTGGTGTTCCCCAGTAGTCTCTCATCCAACCGGATCTGACCCTGCTTAGCTTCCAAAACCAGACAAGCTCAATGGGGTTTAACAAGGGAGGGCAGAAAAGGAAAGAAGAAGAAAAAAGAGAGGAAAGGGTCGGAGCCTGGTGGCCTTGGTTTTGCGAGGGATTGTGAATCCGCTCCAGCTTTTAGTCCTCCCTTCAAAGGAACTCTGCAAGGCGCCGAACATGTTTTGAGGAGGGGACTCACAACTTTGGATAGTTGCCATAAAGTTTCTACTAAACCCCAGGAAGGATTCGTCACTCTTGCTAGATCGGGAGGCAGCAGCTTTCACGAGTTGTGGCCTCGACTCTTTTCTCTCTGCCTCTACCTCCTTTTGGCTTCCGCTCTAAAGCAACCGATACAGTGCTCTTGAAGATGGAGGCTCAATACAACCATTTCTTTTATAGTTCCTTACTCGCTTCCTGCCCTGCTCCATAGCCATCCCTGCCGGGACCCCCTCCTCCTTGAACATGGGTGGTTTGACTAAACTCAGCGGTTAAAAAAAACTGGCCATCCCATCTCACTGCATCCTTCCGGCTTCGCCAACATCCCCGCCTCCCATTACAGCCAGGCAACTTGTATTTAGCAGTCTGATTTGTTTCTCTCTCTCTCCTAAATATGTGCAAGCAGATGGAGCGTGTCTCATTCCAAACGGCGAAGCTATCATTTACTCACCACACTGCTGGGCTACGGCCACCATCGTATAATGACGAATTAAGCTGGCCACAAAGGGAAGCGCGCTGGGGCGTAAATCTTTGATCACGGCCGACATGAAGGCCCCCGTCAAGGCCTGCTCAAAGGTTTTGCGGGCGGGCGTGTCCTGGGCTTTGTACCGGTGGGAGATGATGACGCTGGGAATAGACTTCTCCGTGAAGCTGCAAAGACCAAGGTGAAGCCTGGAGATGCAATCAATTATGGCACTGACGGATCTCAAGACAGTAAACGCCATGTTCTAAACCGAGCCGGGACAATCTTGTCTGTGCATCCAGCGTTGGAGCTAAAAGCACTTGACTGTACAGTGGTGCCCCGCATAACGAGCGCTTCGTTTAACGATGAATCCGCATAGCGATGTGCTTTTTGCAATCATTTTTGCGATCGTATTGCGATGTTTAAAATGGTAAAACATCACTTTGCGATGATCGGTAAGTGTTTCGCTGACCGAACAGCTGATCGGTGGTTCCAAAATGGCCACCGGGTAAATAAAATGGCTGCCCGCAGTGTTTTCGCGCCCTTTCCTCGCTTACTGGGCAGCGAAAATGGCGGTCGCATGGAGGATTTTCACAGAACGGTGAGTTTTTTGCCCATAGGAATGCATTAAATGTGTTTTAATGCATTCCTATGGGCTTTTTTGTTCCGCATAGCGACGAATCCGTATAGCGATGATTTTTTCGGAACGGATTATCGTCGCTATGCGGGGCACCACTGTAATTCTGCAGATCTGGGCCAAATTATAAACAATCTTGATGGCTTGTTGGGAAGAAAGGGCGGCAGGCAAAAAAACCTGACACCTCCCCTCCCACATCATAAACCACACTGTGGTTTGTTAATATGTGTATCGTTGCAGGGCATAAACCCACCTCTGCAAACAAGCCATGGTTTTTCAACCCATCAAAACCCCTGTTTTATTCTGGCTTGTTCCAAACACGGCCTGTTCTCGGTTTCCTTCCTCAGCTGCCCACTCTTCAAGATATCGGTTGACAAAAGAGGATAAGAGGAACCCGCATTAGATATGGAGGCACACCATCAGTTGTTTGATCAAACTTGTTGTGCAAACTGAGGTTTAAGGAACAAACCATGATTAACACAAGTTTATAGTAACGGAAGGTGCAAATGAACTTATTGCTAACTGGAAGGTACGGCCAGTAACCCATACACTTCCCAAATCCCTCACCTCCTTATTTTCATTTATTTCCTTCCTAAATTACAAGTAATCGGCCATCCTCAAGAACAAGGCATAATCTACCAAACAGAGGGGTTTTAATGTTTCCTTTCTGCAAAAGAGTCCTCTTACTTGGGATGCGCAAGAAGCTGATACAAAGCATGCTTGTTATCATCCAGGTTCATCATGGCCACCAAGAAGCATTTGATCACCTCCCAGGCCTGCCTCCGATAGTACGGCTCTGTGTTGGCACTCTTCAAGCAGTCCAGAGCCGTTTCGATAGCCTTGAGAGAGAACAGAGGGAGAAAAAGGAAAACATTTTCTTCAGCAGACACAGACAAAGAGCAGAGCTTCGTGCCGTGCAGAACTCAGGGAGTCCATGCTATGCACAAGATAGGAGGACCAATGACTCTCAAAGGGGGTTAGACGCAGGACGAGTTGGCTTGGCTGGGGCTTAATGATGGCCGTCAGCCTAGTTAATGAAAAGCAGGTCAGGCCTGATTCTTGTAAATGCATTATTGAACAGTCACAAAAGCTTAAGCTTATTAAAAAATAAGTATCCTTCACATCCTCTAGGCAGGAAATAAATAATGCAAGCAGCCAGAGCAAGGAGATCAAAGGTCCATCTGTTCCTTTGGAAGGGAAGCCACGTGGACATCTGGGGCAGGTTCCAGAGCCACCCCATCACACAGCTGAGCACCTGATTAAACAGAACTAGAGAAGGGCACGGACCTCTGGATCATGCCAGTTCGTTTACCAGCTGAACTGGTGTTTGGCGATTTCCAGCCCCATGTCTCCTGGCTGGCACCCACTTGGAGATGGGGCCCCAGCATCACCTCCTCTGGATGGTGTCTCTGAAGGGGCACCTGCCAAAGTCGGGGCTGGGAAGTGCTGAACATCTGCTTGGGGGGTAAACGAATCAGCAATTCATGCCCATCTCTAGACAAAATTCTTCCATGAAAAATAATTCCTTTTGGAAGATGCAGTAGGATTAGAGGCAGTTGCTGGAGACAACGAACAGGAAAGGGACTGTGTATCTGGGCCCCATTTCTAAATTTCATCAAGACATCACACTACTGTGGATGAAGAGAATACAGTGGTGCCTCACTTTACGATTGCCTCGTATTACGCCGAATCCGCTTAATGAGAATCTTTTTGCGATTGCAAAACGATGGTCTGAATGGGGGAATTTCGCTTTGCGATGATCAGTTCCCTGCTTCGGGAACCGATTCTTCACAAAACGACGTTTTTTGAGCAGTTTCAAACTCGCCGGGTGATTAAAATGGCTCCCTGCTGTGTTTAGTGATACGATTCCTCGCTATACAGGCAGCAAAAATGGTCGCCGTATGGAGGATCTTCGCTGGACGGTGAGTTTTTACCCCACTGGAACGCACTGAAAGGGTTTCAATGTGTTTCAATGGGGTTTTTATTTTCATTCTACCATGTTTTCGCTTAACAGCTATTTTCCTGCAACGGATTATCGTCGTTAAGCGAGGCACCACTATACAGATGCAGATGAGCCTTTGGTCAAATCCAGCAGAGGCCTTCCTCCATGATCGATATCTTGTAGACAAAACTACAATGTCTTTCTCCCCCGAAACTTGAAAAATCAACGGAGTTAGCACACGCCTTCCCTTAAACCCAACTCTGTGTAGCCCAGGGGTCAACTTCCTGCCTCCCCCAGGGAAAATCCAACAGCCACAAAACCCAACCGACAGGACCACGACCAGCGATCTCCCCACTTTAATTTGATCTCCTCCCACTCCACGACTCCCCAAGACGTCTCCTAGATGAATGGGATGTTTAGATGCCCCCCAAACTGGAGGCGAGGTCTAGGAGACTTTTTATTGCCCCAAAAGGGCCACGGCATGACCGCATCAGACGACCTCAACCATATAGCCTGGCAGGGCTCCAGTAACAGGATTTCAGCCACACTGTAAGGGTAGTCAAGTGCCACTTTTGAGTAGCTTATAAAAGAATTCAAACTTTCATACGCACATGTACGAAAACAGTACACACCAGAGCGTAAGAACTCCATAAATAAAACTCCGGAATGACACGGTCGGCCTTGAGGCCAATTTAATGACAATTTACAGGAATCTTTTTACGGCAATGACTCCACGAAGTGCCAGAGATCGCCGTGTTCCCAGATGAAGGTGGCCCAATAAAACTTATCATCTCGTCGTCTTTCTCACCGTCTCTCTCCCTCTCTCACACGGGCAAGCCTTCTTCATTCCCCCCCCCTTTTTTTTGGCTCTAAAAGCAAAAAGGCAACTGCCTCCCCTTCAAATAGGACATTGATCAAATGTAGTCCGGCTGCAAAATTCGCTTCAGAACCATGAAATAAGAAATTTCATTGCCTAACGGACTGCAAAAGGAAAATCCAATCATCCATGCTTAAACACTTGATATAAAATTATGTAGATAAAGTGACCTTTGGATCCTGTGGACTCCGCTCCGCCACCACCTCCTTCTCAATTTGGAAAGAAATATCCTTCCACTCTTGAATTCATCTGGCCTCCTGCATCTCTTGCCCAACCTTTATTGTGTTTGTCAAAAGGGGGGGAATGAAATGCACACAATGAATTTCCCACAGGCCACTGGGGTGGAACATGTCTCACCAGGAGAGCGAACACAAAAGATGGATTTTCGGTGCCTGCCCTGTGTTCAGATTCTTGAGGCCTACAGATGCATGACGTACACAGAGATGGCTTCTGAATCAAACTCAAGAAGCCGACAAACACTTTCATTCTGAGCAGGCACACTTGAAAACACTTTGTGTTATGCTTGCGTCACGCTCAGACCTACGTAGGAATCAAGAAAGGGTAGACGGATTGGCCTTCACCAACTTTCTGGTAAGAGCAAAAAAATAAAAATAAAATGCAGAAAACTTGCCAGGCCGCAACATATTACAGCGGTGCCCCGCATAAAGAGCGATTCATTTAACGATGAATCCGCATAGCGATGTGTTTTTTGTGATCGCATTGCGATGTTTTTAATGGCAAAACATCGCTTTGCGATGATCGGTAAGCATTTCGCTTACCGATTTCCACACAGCAATGTTTTAAAAACGGCTGATCGGTGGTTCCAAAATGACCGCCAGAAAAAAATGGCCACCCGCTGTTTTCACGCCCTTTCCTCGCTTACCGGGCAGCGAAAATGGCGTCTGTATGGAGGATTTTCACATAACTGTGAGTTTCCAGCCCATAGGGACGCATTGAAGGGGTTTCAATCCATTCCTATGGGCTTTTCCATTTCAGATAGCGACATTCCGGATAGCGACAATTTTTTTCGGATAGCGACATTCCGGATAGCGACAATTTTTCCGGAAGGGATTATCGTCGCTATGCAGGGCACCACTGTACTATGTCTTATTTATAAAGCATTACCAGGAAGGCAAAGAAGACATCAAATTAGATCAGTGCTAAGAGGTGGTGGCTTGATGGTGGACGAGGATTCAAGAAATCACAGTTGTGATGTGGACCCAATGCCAACCAGAAAGCACTGTCCATCGTATAAATAAACAGGGCATTCTCCACTAGATTAATTTCCACAACAATGTAGGAAACGATCATGGTAGGACCCCCGTGTCCGCGGGATGGGGTTCCATGGTTTCACTTATCCATGGTCTGAAAATATTAAAAATACGAAAAAGAAAAAAAAAATCCAGAAAAACTATTTTCACATGTTTTACCAGAACTAGCAACTAGAGGAGAGACCACGCTAGGAATACTGGTTAGCAAAAAATATAGAGCACAGCCTCTGGTGCCCTCTAGTGACCAGTTTTGATTATGCATGTGAAAGTAATTTTCTGGGTTTTTTTCCCCTTTTACCATGCTATCTATCTATCCATCTATCCATCTATCCATCCATCCATCTAATATTTATTATTAAACATTACTAAATTTTAATTTATTAAATATGAAATATTAAAATATTTTTAAAAAATCATGAGAATGGCACTGGGAGTCATGGGATGGGGGTAGCATTTAACTCCCCAAAACAGCCACCCACAGGCTGAACCTTCCAACAGCAGCAGTCTTTAGGAATTAAAGACTCCTCAAATTGCCCCAAAAGGAATCAACAAAAGGGATCCCACGGGATCTTAGGGGGAGGAACTGGGGAAAAAATCTTATTTCCAAAAAACCACTGCAGCTGGTGACATCATCCTCCTGATATGGAGCAAGTTATGAAAAGGATCTGGGCCATTATATGTGGTGGAAAGCTCATTTAACTCAGCAGACTTCTTTCACGAGAAAACATTCACAGGATAACAACACCAGGGACCCCTTATATTCACGGCAATGACGGTGGAAGTTTAGAAGGCAGAATAAGAGGAATTTTTTTTAGCAGGGAAGAGGTAGTCCTCCAGAGGCAGATGGGCTGCAATTCCCATCAGCGCTAGCCAACACAGCCAGCGGCGAAGGACGATGGGAGATGGAATCCATCGAAACAGCCTAACACACCCCTTCCCTGACTTCCTGGATTTAGGGGTTCAGAAGGGCTGCAACAGAAAGCAGTTCCTTGAGCCTAAGATGCCTACGGTTGGCAGAACATCTGGAAATGTGTGGCTGAACAAACAGCCTACAGCAGGGAGAAGAAAAAACAGACCTTACCTTCTCCATGGGGAGCTGGATGGAGGCTTTGCAGTCGGCGAACTCGGCGGTAATGCTGGGGCCTTGAATCTCGGTCACGACGTACTGCAGCTTTTGAGACTCCTTCAGCATCTTCCGGTTGCTGCCGCCAAACTTGCCCAGCACCCGGTAAGCCACGTGGGAAATGGTCTCGGCAGGATTGCGCAGCGTCCGCCACAAGGCCTTTGGAGGAAGTTTGGAAAACATCCAAGATTGGGGTTCAAAGACCGTTTGGCTCGCTAAGCGATTGCTTTGGGCGATTCATTTTGCCAATCACCTTCTCTGGGAGGGGGAAACCTTTTTGCACCGCAGGGGACGAACAGGAAGAAACTGCAAATTCCACTAGCATAGGATTAAAATATATGTATAGCCCGAGACCTTGGCCAACGTCACATTTTCTGTTTAAAAGCAAATTTCATCCTAATTTATATATACTTCTCCTTTCAACAACATTGGGGGTTGGGGATTCTGGACACCTGTGTCCTTCAAGATCCACGTATAAGGCTTTTAACAATCACAATCGAGTCCCCAAATGCCTTTTAAAAGTTAAGACTGTTTTTAATGTTTATTTGTGTTTCATTATTCAATTGTATTTTATTTAGCACAGAGTTTAACTGGTTTTTTTAACTTATTATGTTTTTAATTCTATTCTTTTTAATACCGTGAGCTGCTTTAGGTCCCCTTCTCAAGAGAAAGGCAGCTTATAAATAAAATGAACAAATAAATAAATTAAATTAAATAGAACTTGTGTGCTCTCCCAAAACGTTACTATGAAGCATAAACAGTTGACTGACACACAGAGAGAACGTATGAGTTTACTGTATCGGCCCAGAGGGCTGCTATAGCTGGACCACCAGCAATAGGGGCCTCGGTAAGCCCACGAATCTCGCCTTTCTCAGGCCACGTCCTCAAGACAAAGAGTAGCACAGCTGAATATTTATTTCTTGAAATATATGCTTATGTACTGCTTCACTGTGGTGCTGGAGGAGACTCTTGAGAGTCTCCAGGACTGCAAGGAGAACAAACCTATCCATTCAGAAAGAAATCAACCCTGAATGCTCACTGGAAGGACAGATCCTGAAGCTGAGGCTCCAATACTTTGGTCATCTCATGAGAAGAGAAGACTCCTTGGAATAAACCTTGATGTTGGGAAGGTGTGAAGGCAGGAGGAGAAGGGGACGGCAGAGGACGAGGTGGATGGATAGTGTCATTGAAGCTGCCAACATGAATTTGACCAAACTCCGGGAGGCAGTGGAAGACAGGAGGACCTGGCGTGCTCTGGTCCATGGGGTCACGAAGAGTCAGACACAACTAAACGACTAAACAAAATTGATTCATTGGGGGGAAAATCTGTGCAAAACCAAAACTGTGCTGCTCGAACCCTTGCAATTCAAGGGACAATTAGACACTCTTTCGGCTCTCTGACCTTAAAAAAAAAGGAGAGCAAGCTATACTCTTGATCAAATATGATTAAAAAGAAGATCCTTTCCTTTCCACTGCCTCAGCCCAAAGGCAAAGGTTTGCACATTAATGTTTTTGTCGGATGATTCTCCGGGAGAGCCCTCTGCTTTGCGGATACGCCAAGGCCTGTTTTGTCAAGAGTGGCTTTCAGGCCGCAGCCCCACCCAAGGAGAAGATGACTCGCACGGACGCCCAGCTGCTCAGGTAGCCAAGGGAAGACTGACCTCTAGCGTCTCTGGGTGGCAACTGCCTCGTCTTACCTGCATCAGTTCCGCCCGCACTGGCTGAATGTGGTCGTACAGGAAGTCCGGCTGCAGGTTGTCCACGCACAGCTCCAAGGTGCGCAGGCCCTGGCTGACCAGCGTCTGGGAGCCGTTTAAGGCCGACACCAAAGGATCCATCAGCATGGGCAGGTAAGGAAGGAGGGAACTGAGGCGCACCGGCACGGTGAGGCAAAGCTCGACAAATAAATCCTTCATGTGTTGCTTGTGCAGGCCGCTCTGCAGCATGTTGAGACCTGGAAGGGAGGAGCCGGCGTCGATAAAAACCCTCGCGCCGCCGTCAGCTATCATACCCTTGAACATTTTTACAGACCACCCCCCAACAATAAGAGGCCCACGCGTCAACATACAAATATAAAAGCGAGAAACGGTCCATAGCACCAAAACCAGAAAATCTCTCTTTTTAAATTCCTGTTGTGCATCTTGGTGCTGGAACAGCTCATGGAGGCATCGGGCTCGTAACACAGATGTTGGCAGCCTGAATCCCCACCTTGTGAACAGAGCCAGCCCGCGTGGCCTTGGGCAAGCTGCACCGTCCCAAGGCACCCCAGGAAGAAAGGAAGAGGTAATCCACTGCTCAGCACTTCTGTATCATGAAAACCCCAGAAAGGGTTGATGTAAATTTGGACTCAAGCTGACAGCACCCAGCTACTGCGGTCAACTCTGAGCATGGCTGATGTCAGCTGATTTGAACAACTAGGCAGGATCAGGCCTAGTTAGCGCTCCGACGGAAAAACTACTGGAGTCCATAGCTTAGTAGTAAAACACATGTTCAGTATGCAGAAGAACAGCAACCAAGTCCCCAGCATTTCCAGGCAGGGCTCCAAAAGAAACCGACCTGGAACTCAGGAACGCTAATGCCGCCACTCAAGAGGCAACATAGTGAGGCTGGATGCATCAAAGGATCTAATACATCCTAACATTAAAAGACTTGTTCTGAGACATTCATTGACATAGAAGGAAGTGTATCCATCTCTTATCGTTCTTCTTGTTGGCTGGCTAGCTCAATGAATGAGGTATCTGGCTGCAGAGCCAAAGGTCGGGAGATCAATTCCCCGTTGTGTCTCCTGGGAGAAAAGTCAGCCTAGGTAGCTTTGGGTTAGCTGCACAGTCCCAAGGCAACCCAGGTAGAAGGGAACGGGAAACCATTTTCAAGCAGTCTCCTCCACCTGGAACCCCCAGAAAAGGGCTGTACTCCGTTCTTACTGCTACTATTTTATCATTCTCCTTACCTTGTAGTAAGTTGGGTAACAAAGGCAGAAATTCCTGATACAGGAGATCGTGGCTGCCCCCGCCGATGGATCGGAAGAGAGCCCGCAGCAGCAAGAAATAGTTGTAGGGCTCCTTAGCCGTCTGGGCGAGCTCCATGGAGCTGTTCACTATCTTGTGTAGGTGCGGCTGTTAAAAACAGAAAAGAAAGGAAGAAAGAAAAAGAATACATTTAACAGAAAGGAGGGAGGGAGGAAAGAGAGGTTTTAAAAAGACTCCTTTTAGTTACTTAAACCAGCCAGTTCCCAATGACAAGGTTCTTCTGAGGTCATAGTGGCAGCTTGATGAGACTTGGGAAGTCCACCAGACCAACCTAAAGCCATCCTTGAATGGGAAGACTAGTAGACGGAGCCTCTCTTCTAGCACAGCATTTCTGGAACGCCGCTCTCTGCTTTGCAAAGGCACCACCAGCTGCAGCCTAGAAAACTACCCAGCAGGATGACATCACAGGACGACATCATTTCAAACTCTCATAACAGAAGGCACGTCGTATGCATTCATTTGCATTGGTAGCCCTACCTTGGCACTCCCAAGGAATGTGTGGTAGAGAAAGACACCCAAGGCAGATGGCCAGCGTCTAAGTTAACATTCTCACGCTTTTCCCCCCTGCTAAACATCCAAACGGAAGCAGCACTCTAGCAAACACAAATGGCGGTCCATTCATAACTCAATACCAAGCCGACGTACAATGTCCCCAACACAATGTGTCGTCAAGCCAATTCAGGGCTTCAGAATATATCTGGGTTCTGATTCTGGATAGGTTCGCAAACCGGGTTCTCCTCACTCTGGGCACTAAACCTGGCTTCCCTTCGTTCAAACTGCTCTGGACCTTTTAATGTATCTGAATCCAAGGCATAGCGCTATTTAATAAATCTATAATGTAGGGAGGGGAAAGGATTTTTTTTAAGATTACATTTATGCATCACTGCCACCTGCAAAAAAAAAAACAACCTGAAAGCAACATTAAATTTTTTTTTAATATTCCTTACTTCCCTCTGACATTTATAAACCACCCACCACCACACAATGAGTGCACAGCAAAATTCTGGGCAGTGTACATATCAAGTCTTATAAAGCAAACTAACAGCTTACAGTTGCAAACACTCAGGGTGGATTTGATGGAAATCAAATTGATTTAAATCAAAACATTGGACTTTTTTCTACAATTTAATTTTTTAAATCTATTTTTTCAATTTAATTTGTGATTTAAATCAATTTGATTCAACGTGTGTGTTGAATCAAACTGATTTAAATATTTTGCTGATTTTTACCCACACTGCAAACGGTGCTCTCAGGTCTACTACTGCCCCTGTTTCACTTTATACTCTCTCAGAATACATCAAATCCAAAGTATGCTCCAAAAGAACGTCATTGTTATTAGTACAATGACATTCAGATTAAAGTACCCTCACAAAGAAAAATAAAACGTAAAGCTTTCTGCAAACTATTTCAGGGATGGAGGGCAGACAGGCAGCCTCACCCAGGGTAAACCTCTAAAATAATTATGGGTTTTATTAACATCTAAAGGCCTTAGACCTTGCAGCACAATTGGTGCAAAAGAGCTTTCAGTGCTCAAATTAAATTGCCTACCGAAGGCCACACCATCAATTCCCGAGAATCAAATAATTTAACAGGCATGGCGTGGTGATGGGTGGTATATCACACCATTTAAATTGGATTTGCCGTTCGTAAAAGGAAAGTGACCTTGGTTCCAGCAGCTGAAGAAAGGGACACAACGCCCCACGGCAGGGGAGCGCCACCCGCATTTAGTTGGTCTTTACAACACAGGACGTACTTGGGGTGTAATTATTAACCTGTCAATAATCGGGACCATATGAAGAGACAAAGGAAAGCAGAACAGTGGGCTGCGGTTTTTTTAAAGGCAAGTTCTCAGAACTAACCAGGTAATAAAGAAGTCCAGTAAAGAGAAATATAGAGTCCTAATAGGCACTCATTGGAATCGGAGCAAACTAGTCACGAAATAAAGGTGTAGTTCAAGTCTTCAGATGGATTTGTGGGGTTCCCCCCCCCTTTTTCCACCTATTTCAAGAGCAAACCCTACAGTACATTGCAAAATTGATTTACGTTATAATTTTTTTTTCAGATTTCCTAATCGGTAGAATAGCTTCAGCCCTATGGCGTGCCAAATTTCTTCCCGAGCATGATAAGAGGTGTGAAACCGAGATGTAGCCTCTTCTTTTCCTTTTAAAAGGAAGTACGATTGTCACTCAGTGTTTTACTGCACGTCACCCTAATGGCTGGAATATAAACCAAGGCATAACCGAAGATTTGTGGTGTCGTCTGAACGTCTTCTGCCAAGTTCAACTGCCTCTCTGCGAGGGTGTTAACCCCCAGAGAAACCCGGAAAACGGTAACCAGAAACCAGATTCTCTCTGCAGATGGAATGCTCTCCCGCAGGAAAACTGATAGTCACTCTCCCTTTACATATGTAAAAAGTTCCTAAAAACGGAACTATTCAGAAGCTTGCAGGGAGAATCTCCCCCAAATGCTGGGACATAGGAGGGGGGAGGAGAGGAATAATGTAGTATTGTTGCCTGTGCTGGAAATTTTTCCGCTGCCTGTCGTGGGTTATGATTTATGTCTGGGATAGTCTGTGATCTGCACTATTGTGTAACATAATTTTAATTATAGCACTTCTCAAATATGTGAAAGGTAGTCCTACACAGGAGCGGCAGGATCTCTTCTCGGCCATCCCGGAGTGCAGGACACATCATAATGGGCTCAGGAGACCGGATTTAGGCTGAATATCAGGAAAAATCCTTCTCAACTGTTAGAGCAGGACGACAGTGGAACCGATGACCTCGGGAGATGGTGAGCGCTCCAGCGCTGGAGACATTCAAGAGAAAACTGAACAATCGTCTATCGGAGGGGCTTTGATTTGGATTCCTGCATTGAGCAGGGGGGTGGATTCAATCCCTTCCAACTCAGTTATTCTGATTCTAAAATTTGTGGTACACCACCCAGAGTAGCTAGATGGGTAATGCATTGAGTAAAAAAAGACGCACCAAACCCTACCCCCTACCCCATGCACAAACTAACCCACCATGGTTTAGATGTAACACACCATATTGAGGTTTGTTTGGCTTTCCAGACAGTGTTGCTCCTTAGAACCCATGAGAACCAACCGCTATAACTTCCTCTTCCCTCCCTTTGGTTTTTTCCTCTTATGTTATGTCTCGTCTTTCCAACATGATTATTATGGAACTGGTTCAAGAGCATGTTTGAATGGGAAGCCAGCCGAAAGCACAACCGATCAACGGAATACAGCATTTTTCAAAAGGCATGCTGGATACGCGACCAGAAAAAACTTCCATTCTGGCTCCTTTTGCAGCCTTACCTTCAGCATCTGTTCGTTCTCTGCGGCAAAGAGGGAAACCGAGCCAAAGACTAACTTGAAGAGTTTGAGGTAGAGGTTGGACAGCTCGACGTTGGAGCCCATTTCGGGCAACCGATCCAGAAGATACTCCACCAAGATCGTAGCAAACAGGGCCGAGGTAGTTGGGTTGGCCAAGAAAGAATTGGCGACAATCTGTCAACAGACCAAGATAAAAACATCATGTTTTTATTCTTGCATAACTCTCCCATCCCAGGACAGAGCCCCAGAGTCACGCTTTGCTGGAGAAGTCACTCCATGCTAGACCTTGTAAGGTCGACATTCTGCAATACAGTGGTGCCCCGCATAGCGACGATAATCCGTTCCGGATAAATCGTCGCTATCCAGAATCGTCGCTATCCGAAACAAAAAAAACTCATAGGAACGCACTGAAACCCCTTCAATGCGTTCCTATGGGGGATAAACTCACCGCTATGCGGAAATCCTCCATACGGCTGCCATTTTCGCCGCCCGGTATGCGAGGGAAAGGGCACGAAAATGCTATGGGCGGCCATTTTTTTCTTCCGGCGGCCATTTTGGAACTGCCGATCAGCTGTTTTCAAAATATCTCAATGCGAAGATCGGTAAGCGAAACCCAATGTGATGTTTTGCCATTCAAAACATTGCAATACAATCGCTTTTGCGATCACAAAACCCACATCACTATGCGGATTCGTCGTTAAACGGAGCACTCGTTATGCGAGGCACCACTGTACTGTCCCCTTGCTTCAGTTGTGATCATTCCCCCAAATTTTAGTCACAAAAGACCCAGTTGTTGTTTTTTTAAAGAAAAAATCAAAAGCAGCAGGGTGGGGGAGGGAATATCCCAAAAAGTCTTTTGCAGTTTTTGTTCCAGTCAATAGGAACAAATATACGGAGACAAATAACGGGTGTTTTTTCCAGAAACCATGGCACAGTAAATCAGAACCAGCATGTTTTTTTTATAATTAGCAGATCCCCAAGGAGTGCGGCCCCGTTAAATTTGAGACACGTAAATTAAACTCTATAATTAACCCTAATCCCTGATGTTAAGTGACTAAGCGCACGTGTAACACAATTGACACAAGTGTCCTTTTGAGGGAAAAGGCAGAGTAAATATATTTTAATATTTTAAATAAATAAATAGTCAAATATTAAAATTCTTACTGAGGTCACAAAATACTGCTGAATATATACACACAGAGAGAGCAAGAGAGAGACAGAGCCCAATATATAACAGCAAAGAATGCTGCTTACATACTATCCCATAGCACTTAAAGTATTCTCTGGCGGTTTACAGTTTAATTAAGCAGGCCACACGCTGCCTCCCCCACCCCACCTCGCTGGGTACTCAATTTACCAACCTCATAAGGATGGAAGGCTGAGTGAACCTTGAGCCATCTACCTGGGATTAAACCCAGGGTCACGAGCAGAGTTTTGGCTGCAGTACTGCAGTCTAACCATTGCTCCACAAGGCTCCAACATTCAGCTCAAGTTCCTGGATACAACGAGCCCACATGGAAACATTTTTAAAGTGCTCTAGAATGCTCATCATACAACCAACCACTCACACCATTAACACAGAGAGGCGATTCGTATTCTCAAATCACTAAGTCCGTTTAAAGCTGTATTCAAGAAACTCTTTTTATTGAGATTTCTTTTCCCCTAGCACCCTGCTGCAAGCCTTTTAAAGGATAAGGTTAGGTATATACCAAATAGTCCCACAATGCCTATGTTCATGTCTAGCATCAGGAATTAGGTAACCAGCCCATTTGGGTGCAGAATGTTGATCTTTTCACTTATTTTCTTTACATTTTTTCTTTCCACAGTCTAAATCACAGGCATAGAATCCAACTCCAACCTCAACCAACTCTTAAAATCCAAAGGTATTATAGATATTATTGTGGTAGATTTTTCGGGCTGTTCGGCCGAGTTCTGGAGGCCAAACCTCCAGCCTTGAAAAACCTACAACAACCATCGGATCCCGGCCGTAAAAGCCTTCAAGAACATATTATAGAGATTGTCTTTGTTAGAATTTATTAAGCCCAAGGCGCCAAGTTCAGGAACGGCTATTGTCACTGTCGAGTGCACAGAAGGTACTACCTGAAGGGCGTAGTTCTTAGAGATTCTTTCCACCATGTAAGGAACTGTTGTCTGAAAGATTTCTTTAAATGTCAAAGGGTTCATCATTGTGAAGACACCAGCAAAATGCTCTAAGACCTCCTTCTCCTCCTTCATCCTGACCGTCTGACAATTCGCAACTCGGATGTACGTCTGGCCATTTCCAGCTATTTGAACCTATGACGAGAGACATTGGACAGAACCAGCGTCAGCCTTATTTTATTTCCGCTCGGGATCAGCTTTCTCTCAACATATCGAGAAGTCCCTTTAAAACACGGCTCCGCAAGGAGAGGGTAGGTAATCCTAAAGCAAAGAAAAATGTCCAAAGCAAAACAGGTAACAGACACAGGCAAAAAAGAGACCAATAAAAGCAAAACATCGGTTAGGATACGTACCTGATAAATATCCAAAGCCTGCATTGCATATTTGACCAGTTTAATATAAATCTGTGTCTCTTTAGGCTGTAGCTGTTTGTTGGGAATGAACTGAGCTTCTGCAGAAACAAAAATGGAAAACAGAAGGGAACACGTCATAGAACAATGAGTTAGTGCAGTGGTTCTTAACCTTTGTTACTCAGGTGTTTTTGAACTGCAACTCCCAGAAACCCTAGCCAGCAGAGCTCATGGTGAAGGCTTCTGGGAGTTGCAGTCCAAAAACATCTGAGTAACAAAGGTTAAGAACCAGTGAGTTAGTATAACAACATTTTATCAATTTATTTCAGAATTGGGCAGGCCTATTATTATTTGTTAAATGTACAGACCATCTTTCCCTTACTCACAGTAACCCAGTGATTTAGGAAGGCTTCTTATGACAAACGCTATCTCGGAAAACACAGCCTCCCTTCTCTCAGACTCCAGTGAGAATTTTCTAAAATAAAGCCTGCAATGAGAACGGAATTGTCTATCTCAGTGATGCTCAATGTTGGGTCCCCCAGGTGTTCTTGGACTGCAACTCCCAGAAGCCCCCAGCCAGCACAGCCACTGGTGAAGGCTTCTGGGAAATGCAGTCCAAGAACACCTGGTTGGAAACCACGGGTCAATCCGAACACAAGGGCCAACATTCAGCTAAAGTTCTCTGGACACCATCAGCTTACATGGAATCATTTTTCACATGCTGCGGGATGCCCCTCACACAACCAACAACTTACACAATCAACTGCACAACGAAAGGAAAAGCTGGTGCAGGACAGAGCAGAGAGCAGCTCATACTGCTTGAATGATTGTTATACAACTAACGCAAACCAGTAGGATTCTAGCCGAAGAACTGTTTCAGTTCAGAAAAGTGGTTTGACCCCATGGGCAATTATGTACATTTATCAAGCCAGCCAAACTGATCCTATGCATATTTAAAATAGCTGAGCAATCAAGCTGAAAGCCAAAGGCCTAATTGCCAGGGCCGGCTCTACCATAAGACACAATGAACCAGGCACCTCAGCCAAACAATGCTAGGAGAAATAGAGGCAACAGCTCCATCCAAAGGACTATGGCTATTCTAATCAGCTGGAGGCCAAAACATTCTGCTGGCAATAACCTGCATTTCCTAAGAGACATACAGGATTCCCCATCATAATTCCACTGCTAGGTAAAGGTAAAGATTCCCCTTGACATTTAGTCCAATCGTGTCCGACTCTAGGGCGTGGTGTTCATCCCCGTCTCCAAGTCATAGAGCCAGCATTTCTCCAAAGATAGTTTCCGTGGTCATGTGGCCAGTGCGACTAGACATTGAACGCTGTGACCTTCCCACCAGGGTGGTACCTATTTATCTACTCGCATTTTTACATGCTCTCGAACGGCTTGGTTGGCAGGAGCTGGGACAAGCGACAGGGGGGAGCTCACTCCGCCACGTGGATTCAAACTGCTGATCTTTCAACCTATACTGCTAGAGCATATCCCAAAAGCATCCTTTCGTATTTCAACTCAGGCAACTACATGTAATGAAAGGGCAACATCAATCCGTTCAACGACAATAAGTGCCTTGAATCAGGGTGGATATTTGATTGAAACCCTCCTTCAAACCGATTTTTTAATTTTAAAAATCAGATTTTTAAAAAATGATTTAAATTTTTAAAATTTTGATTTAAAAAAAAATTAAGCAGTGATTTGGACCAATTTGATTTATTAAAAAAAGGAGGAAGGAGTCTAGTTCATCACGACATTACCCCCAGGTGCTTTGCACGAAGTGATGCCCCACGTAATCGTCTTGACGCCGCAGACCAAGGTCTTGACCAGGCTCCGGCAATCGGTGACCTGGAACGTCTGCTTGTCCTCTTTTTCCTTCTCTCCTTGTTTCTCGAAGACGGGCCCCGAGGGTGGGGCCACGGGAGTGGTGGGGGCAGGGGACGGCACAGGGACCGGAGCCCCACTGCTTCCGGCAGGTACCCCAGGCAAAGCCACTTCTGCCACCCCAAGCTCGGACTGAGGCTTGCACTTCTTAAAGATGATGGAAAGCTGATAGCGGGCAATGGTGTGGAATTTCAGGACAAACACCTGGAGCACCAAAAAACAGCGAAGAACACAACTAAGATCAGAACAGCCACAAAATATCTCACAATCTTTTTCCCCCTATGAGGAAAGACGGAAAGAACTAGGTATGTTTAGCCTTGAGAAAAGCAGACAGAGGGGTGTGATAGGATAAAACTTTTCAAATCCTTGAAAGGCTGTCATACAGAGGAGGGGCAGGATCTGTTCTCGATCATCCCAGAGTGCACGACATGCAACAATGGGCTCAAGTTACAGGAAGCCAGATTTCAACTGAATATCAGGAAAAACTTCCTAACTGTTAGAGCAGTACAACAATGGAACCATTGACCTCAAGAGGTGGTGAGCGCTCCACCACTGCAGGCATTCAAGAGAAACTTAAGACAACCACCTGGCAGATCTCCTTTGATCTGTATTCCTGCATCGAACAGGGGTTTGGACGTGATGGACTTATAGCAGTGTTCCCCGATCTTGGGCCTCCAGATGTTCTTGGACTACAATTCCCAGAAGCCTTCACCACCACCTCTGCTGGCTAGGATTTCTGGAAGTCCAAGAATATCTGGAGATCCAAGGTTGAGGACCACTGGCTTATAGGATCCTTCCAACATCTCTATTTGATGATTCTATGATTCAACATTTACTGGATTAGCTATCTTCACACCCTGCCTTCAATGACTCCAAGCTGGCATTTGTAGTTCCTTCCTCCCTTTTTCAAGGTAGGGTCAGACTGAGAATGGCTGGCTCAAGATCCCACAGACCTTTTAGGACAGAGCAGAGTCTTGAACCTGGTCCTCAAAACTCCCAGTCCAATGCTCTCCCCGCCTCCCCTCCGGCTTTTAATCCAGTTCACCAACAAGATACCCAAACAAGACTGGGATGCAATTATGCAAGAGAAACCAGAGTAAGTTTGGATTGCACACATCTTTCTTAGGTCCTGCAGTTCCATTCGTGGAGATAAACCATGAATTGTCATTTGCCCATGCACAGACCAAGAATGATGGGCAAATCGTAAGGATTATAAAACACCTTAAACCATCATCTGAGATCTTAGCTTGGTCGATAGTACAGTGGTGCCTCGCTTAACGATTACCTCATTAAACGACAAATCCGCTTGACGATGAGGTTTTTGCGATCACTTTTGTGATCGCAAAATGATGTTTTAATGGCCAAAATTTGCTTCCCGACGACCAAATTTGCTTCCCGAAACAGGGAACCGATTCTTCGCATTACGACAATCAAAACAGCTGATCATTGGGTTTCAAAATGGCTGCCCGCTGTGTAAAACGGCTCCCTGCTGTGCTTTAGGATGGATTTTTCGCTGCACACGCATTGGAAAATGGCCACCCTATGGAGGACCTTCGCTAGACGCTGAGGTATTTAGCCCATTGTAACACAGTGAGCGGTTTTCAATGCATTTCTATGGGCTTTTTTATTTCGTTTGACAAGGATTTCGCTCTACAGTGATTTCGCTGGAATGAATTATCCTCGTCAAGTGAGGCACCACTGTATCAAGCCGCAGACTGAGAGGCAAGAGCAGCCTATATCCTATGGAGGATTTTCGCTAGACGCTGAGGTATTTAGCCCATTGTAACACAGTGAGCGGTTTTCAATGCATTTCTATGGGCTTTTTTATTTCGTTTGACAAGGATTTCGCTCTACAGTGATTTCGCTGGAATGAATTATCCTCGTCAAGTGAGGCACCACTGTATCAAGCCGCAGACTGAGAGGCAAGAGCAGCCTATCTCTGCCTCCCACACTGAGGAGAGCAATTACAATACACAACTGAACACTGGAGTGCCAGGCCTGAGTACCACTTGTCCATCACTTGTCCATCGTTTGAATCCCAATGAGGAAGTGGATCCTACTCCAACAAAGCTCACATGGAAAGAAACCTGCTAGATCACAGTCCTATTTACATGTGATCACGTTAAGTGGAAATTGAGTAAGGGTCTCCTGCACACACTCCCTGGTCACAGGCCAGCTACAAAATGAAGAGCATGACCAATCAATCATGTTAAGGACAGCTTGCAGAAAGGGAAAAAAAACCAATCTGCAATTGCTTTGATACAGACCACTAGTTATCGGTCTGGTTTTAGCCTTCATCTTGAAGGTGCTATAATAGTTTGGAGTTGCTGCTTTGTTTTCCATAAACGGTGAAACAGACTATCGTGACCTCTTAGAAAACGGTTTCAGGTTTATTTATATGTCAGTATCATCCTATGTCAATGCCACCTGGCAGGACAAAGTTCCAAATAATATGGTTTCAATTTATTTATGTCAATGCCTTCCCATGTCAATCCCACCTGGCAGGACAAAGTTCCAAATAGAGTAGTCCTAGAACGAGCTGGAATTTTTAGCATGTATACATTACTGAAACAGCAACGTCTACGTTGGCTTGGGCACGTCGCGAGAATGGCTGATGGTCGGATTCCAAAAGATCTCCTGTATGGAGAATTAGTACAGGGAAATCGCCCCAGAGGGAGATCACGGCTCCGATACAAGGACATCTGCAAGCGGGATCTGAAGGCCTTAGGAATAGACCTCAACAGATGGGAAAACCTGACATCTGAGCGTTCAGCCTGGAGGCAGGTGTTGCATCATGGCCTCTCCCAATTTGAAGAGACCCTTGTCCAGCAGGCCGAGGCAAAGAGGCAGTCCCAAAACCAGCAAAACCAGGGAGCTGGACAGGGGGTAGATTGGATTTGTCTTCAGCATGGAAGGGATGCTCATTCTTGAAACTGCCTTCTCAGCCACTCTAGACACTGTTCCAAGTCCTCCATACAGAGCATGTTACCAGTCTCTCAAGACTGAAGGATGCCTAACTAAATGCCATCCTAAAATTCTCAGTATGTTTTAGCAGAGAGGTCCTGTTTTTTAGGTGCAGACAGAACTTTAAGAAGAACCTCAATGAACTTCTGGAGAGCTCAGTGGGGTTTAAGTCTCTGGCCGCGCAGCCAGAGGTTGCGAGTTTGATGCCCCACTGGGCCTCCTTGATAGAGGTCAGACTCAATGATCAACAGGGTCCCTTCCAGCTCTACAATTCTAAAGTATTATACCATAATATCCATTTTTTTAGACCAGTACTCCTATAATGGCCTTATAGAATTCTGAGAGCCATAACCTAAAAAACAGCAACTTTTCTAAGCTGTACCGAGGAGCAAGAATCCCTTTGAATCGCATCCCAATTACAGTGATCCCAGTTAAAGTAGATTCCCCACTTTTACCTCCAACATCCTCATGAGGATGTCCCGGCCATTTCCGTTTTCCTGTTCGCTCTTGGAGCGGATACAGTCCACCAGGTTGAGCAGAAGTTTGCAGGACATGGTCTGGATGCTGCTCGGTAGCGACTCGTCATCAATATTCTTCGCAAACAACTGGACCGCCAGGGAGAGATCATTGAGCGGCAAGTGTTGCCGGACGTGATGCACCAGATCCGCCAACGTGCTGTAGGCAAGGGGCCTAAGGAAAAGACACCGAGAACAAAGGAGACCAGTTACACTAGTAGAATTCTTTCCAGATTGTTCGGCAAGATAAACAGCTTTGTGGATTTAACCTTTTTTTGGGATGAGTCAAGCAGGAACGCGCGGACTGGAAAATCTTCTGCTTCGGTAAGTTTCTGCAGAAAATATTCCAGGCCAGCCGGTATCCTGTTCAATATTGACGCACATACGAGTGTGCAAGTGAGGCCAAAGTCACACAACGGCCTAGCAAGCACCTCATCGAATCATCACAGCAGCTTCCATAAGTACTCAACAAGAGATTGGCCCTCCAAGTTCAGAAAAGCATTAACTACATGCTACTGACCCACTGGAATAAATGCAACATGGGTGGTATGCTAGTCAAACGTAAACTTCCCACCCTGCAGCAATGATCACTAAGGAAGCAGGCACCCCTGTCTGTTTGTTTTCACCCCACCTTTCTGCTAAGAAAGAACACAAGGTGGCTTACATCATTAAAAACACAGTATCAAAAGCTAGAAATACAGTGGTGCCTTGCTTAACAATTGCCCCGCATTACGACGAAATCACTGTACAATGATCTTTTTGTGATCGCAATTGCGATAAGAAAACAATGGTCTAAATGGGGGAATTTTGCTTAGGGATGATCAGTTCCCTGCTTCGGGGACCGATTTTTGCTTTACGACGATCAAAAACAGCTGATCGTCAGGTTTTCAAAATGGCCCCCTGCTGTGTTTAGGTACGGATTCCTCGCTATACAGGCAGCGAAAATGGCCGCCATATGGAGGATCTTCACTGGACTGTGAGTTTTTACCTCACTGGAACGCACTGAACGGGTTTCAATGTGTTTCAATGTGGTTTTTAATTTTGTTTTACAATGTTTTCGCTTAACGGCGATTTTCCTGGAATGGATTATCGTCGTTAAGCGAGGCACCACTGTAGTAACTTTAATCAAATATTTTAAAAGAATTAAATAAACGTTATATTAAAAATGGTTCAGCTATCTGACGTCAGAGGCAGAGAGGTTGGGAGTTCGATCCCCCCATAGGGCCTCCTGGGAGAAGAGCCAGCCTGGGTGGCCTTGGGCCAGCTGCACCGTCCCAAGGTTGCACCCTAGAGGAAGAGAAGGGTAAAGCACCTCCGAGTCACTCTCTACCTACAAAACCCTGAAAAGGGTCACCAGGAATTAAGAACTGACTTGACGGCATACTATTATTATTACTATATTAAAAAGGTTAGGAAAAAGCATTATTAGGGGCAGATTTAAAAGCAACATAAAAATACAAAGCCTCCCTTTTTATAACCTCCCCTGGTCCGTCAAGGACAGCAAAGATTGTCCAGCTTCTTCTGATTTACAATGACCTGCTAAAATCAGCACAGTAACAGTTCCCAGTGCCTGCCTTCGGAACTAGGCCAACAGCCACAGCCATGAAGACATGCAGATTCCCCAAAAGTCACCAGATCACAAATACTGATGCATAAAATTAAAACTGAATAACACAGAGGGAGATCACATGCACGTCTACCCCAAGCACAGCTGTTTTTAAGGCTTCTGACCTGCCAAGCATTCCACCCATACGGTACACCCACGGAGAGAGGTGCAGAACACATCGAAGCTTAGGAACTTGTATTTTTTATGAACCTCTCTTTGGCATGGGTTAAGCTTCATCTTGAGTACCGTGTCCAGTGCTGGACACCACACTTCAAGAAGGATGCCAACAAACTGGAGCAAGTTCAGAGGGCAACGAGGATGATCAAGGGACTCAAACCCCTGCCCTAGAAGGAAAGACTGAAAGAACTGGGCATGTTTAGCCTTGGGAAAAGAAGACGGAGGATAGATAGGATAGCACTTTTCAAATATATGAAAGGTAGTCCTACAGAGGAGGGGCAGGATCTGTTCTCAATCCTCCCAGAGTGCAGGACACATAATAAAGGACTCGAGTTACAGGAAGCCAGATTTCAGCAGAGTATCAGGAGAAACTTCTTAACTGTTAGAGCAGTCCGACAATGGAACCGATTACCTTGGAAAGTGGTGAGGAGAAGGAAGCCTAGACCACAAAAAATGTCAGTGGACATGGAAGGAAGGCAGAACTATGAATAAAAAGCAGCAGAAAGGATACTATTTGAGGACAAGCAGTAGTTCATGCCCATCATCCAAATCTTCACCTTTGGTTCAATATTGATTCCACATTAAATTCATAGCCTTAGTTTCATCCTATCTTTGGAGGTGATGCCCCATTCCAGAGACGAAACCAAACAAATTCTTCATAGTTGCTTTCTTGGACCACCGTTTCAAGTGTCTCCCAGCTGGTACAGCCAGTGCCTTTTGTGGCTTTGAGGACTTACGGTCTAAATAAAAGTAAACTTTCCAAGTTCTGGGAAGTATAATTCAGACTTCTACATAATGTGGGTTCTAAAACTTTCCATTAAGGAAAAAAAAGTCAAGACGCCTGCCAATTCCAGTACTCTTACTCACTTTACCCAAGTTTACACCTGCAGCAGAACCAAATGGTAATACTTTTCTTGGATTGCCCTATTTCTAGACTATTCAAATTCTCTGCCTTGGAAAAAGAATCCCACTGCCACTGAGGCAGTGAAATCCGATTTGTTCTTTACGCAGGACTGAAATCCGATTTGTTTTTTTGTGCATGCAGAAGGTATACGTAGCGTAACATTCACTCACTTCCAGATGGCAGTGGGACCTTAAAGGGCCCTGATTTTCATACTTTGGATACCACTGATGAATTGCACAACCTAGTTCCAAAATAATTATGCTCACTGCTCAAATTAGGTTTGCAGAAAATAGTTTAACGGAGAGCATTGACAATTAGGAGTTACTATTTAGCAAACACCAAACAGTAGATCGTACTCTACCTGTAATCCAAAGGCAAGAGACCTGCTGCCTCTCAGGAGCTTAGAACTACAAAGTCCAAAAGCCCCAATCTGTTGGCCACGAGGTATGGAAGCTGCAGTACAAAACTGCAGGAAGGCATCACGTGGCCTGTCCCGGCTGCAATCATCACCCATGCAAATGTTTTACTGCTCCAAAGATGCAAAGCCAGGCTGCTGGATGGATGGCTCAGTGAGTTGCCTACATGGCTGTGGAGCCAGAGGTCATGGGTTCAATCCCACACTGCGTCTCCCAAAAAAGAAGCCAGCCTGGGTAGCCTTGGGCAAGCTGCACCATCCCAGCGCTCCCCCCCCCCAGAAGAAGGCATAGGTGATCCACTTCAGAGTACCCAATGCATAGTAAATCCTGGGAAAGCTTGCCTTACGCCCATAATGAGTTTTAAATCAGACTAGCTACGCTGACCTCTAACGTCCAGGAGAAGAACAATAAAAAAGATATGGAAGTTACATACGGCTCCTCAAATCCGTGGTGAGAATATGCTTGGCTGCGATGAGAAGTTCCTTTCTCAGGTGAGCTGTTTCTGCAGGACAGTTGCATAGTAACTGCAACATGCCTTTGACCATCTGCTGTGAATATTTTGCCACCAATTCCTGATAAAGCAAAAGACATATTGACATCCCAGCTACATTTCTATCCCTTCAAATCCCTCCTGAATAACAGCCTGCATAGAGATGTTCTTTTTTTTTTCTACAACAAAGGAGAGTAGGTAGCGCAACAGATGATAACGAACTCTAAGACCCATCACCCTTCACCACTGGCTAGGCTGGCTAGGGCTTACAGGAGTCGCCAGTCCAAAAGCATTCAGGCAGCATAGGGAATTATGGGAGTTGTAGTTGGAAAAGGAAAAAACCCACCAGAAACCTGCATACCTCTATTTTAAGCTATTTATTATTCAAAAGTCAATCAAAACAATAAAAACATTGACTGGTATTATATAACAGATACTGTACTAGTTTTAACCAAAAACCTAAATATCTGGTAAATATCAGCGCTGTATCTATGCCATTCCTAATATTGCTATTTTTTTTTTGTTGCTTTGTGTTGTTTCTAAGATCTGCAACTGCTTATAATACTGTGTGAAATTTCTTGATATTGTTCCCAAAGCTCGAAGGGCAATGGCAGCCACTGAGTTATGTTTCATCCACAAGCAGGATGTTTCGATGGCCAGGTCTCTGTATTTTGTTAGTTTTTCCAATTCTTTATGTTCAAATCTGGCATCTCCCAGAATTGCAATGTCAATGATGCGGACATGTCTTCGTTCTATTACTCCTACGTCTGGTGTGTTATGTTCAAGGTGTCTATCCATTTGGATCCAGAAATCTCACAGAATCTTGATGTCATAATTTTCTGACACCTTCTCTACCTGATGTTCCCATGGGTTTTCGGAGGCTGGCGAGTTATATTTTTTGCATAATGACCAGATTATTATTATTAATCTGCTGCCATTTACCCCCATGGGGCAAGGCAGCTCACAACAATAAAATCACACAATATTAAAAAGTGTAAAATGCACCCCGTTTAACGAAGAAACCGCATAGCGACAATGTTTTTGCAATCGCTTTTGCAATCGCATTGTGATGTTTTAAATAGGGAAAAATTGCTTTGTGATGATCAATACCGTGTTTCGCTTACCAATTATCGCAAAGCGATGATTTTCTAACAGCTAATCGGTGGTTCCAAAATGGCCGCCGGGTAAAAAAAATGACTGCCCGCTGTGTTTTCACGTGGTTTCCTCACTTACAGGGCAGCGAAAATGGCCGCCGTATGGAGGATTTTCGCTTTAAGGTGAGTTTTAAGCCCATAGGAACGCATTAAATGGGTTTTAATGCATTCCTATGGGTTTTTTAAAATCGCACAGCGACGTTTTCGTTTTGCAGCGATTTCTGCAGAATGGATTAACGTCGCTATGCGGGGCACCACTGTATATTAAAAAAACAAACACTGGTCAGGGTTCAAAACTCTTTTTAAAAAAACATTTAAGCAATGACTGATCACACTGTGTTGGGGGAGAAAAGGAAAGAAAGCTAAATCATATCGCCTAAATATTTCAAGGTGTGCTTTCAAGACACAGATTTCTGGGGAGAAAGAAGTCACATTTAAGCACCAAGGAATTCTTCTATATGTTCTCAAAATCTCCCTTGAACCGGTTCATACTCCTTAGGTCATCTTTTCCACCTGAAGCAATTTGCATTTTTCATACATCAGCAGTATCAAGCTACCATTGACCATCAAAAAAAAAAAAGTAGAAGCCAACTTCTGTGCACCTCCAACACCCAAACGTTCCAATCAAAAGCATGCACGTCCTGGTCTTAGACCAACTGGAGAAGCAGTGACTGATCACACTGAGTTTTTAAAAAAGGGACAGAACTCCAACAAGAGCTGCCATATGGATCACAAGCACCAGCCAAGCAACAATGGCTCAGGTTGAGAGAGACACCCCCCCATCATCACAGCAACCAGCCTATGTAGCCCCCATGTTGCAGAGGCAAGATAAACCATTCGACATCTCCCCTACAAATTGCCTCCACCTCCACAGCTTCTAAAGTACAGTAGTGCCTCGCAAGACGAATTTAATTCGTTCCACGATTAATGTTGTCTTGCAAAAAATTCATCTTGTGAAACGCGTTTTCCCATAGGAATGCAATGAAATCTAATTAATGCGCTCCTATGGGCAAAAAAAGTCAGAACAAAGTCAAATTTGGTTTACAAAGGGTTTATTAAGTGCTCTTTAAAGCCATACATATTGCGCAGATGATTTTAAAAATGTCAATCAAAAAACTTTAACTTTTTAAACATCATAGAAAAACATTTAAAAATCAGCAAACATGAGGCAGGAACAAAAAAAGACCCCACTTTCGCCTTGCAAAGCACAGGCATAGGAACATTCGTCTTGCAAGGCATCAACCCCATTGCCAAAACCATTCGTCTTGCGAGTTTTTTGTCCTGTGAAGCATTTGTCTTGTGAGGCACCACTGTAAACCTTTAGAAGTAATCCTTAATTAAGTAATTCTTAACACAAGCGACTTCTGATAAGTCTCTGCAAAAGGTACCTCAGAAGAAGCAATGGCCACATGAGCCATTCCCAGGGGTTCTGCCAGATGTTTTGGACTAGAATTCCAATCTTCCATGGCTGCTGGCCAGGGCTGATGGGCGATACAAATCAATACACATCTGGAGAGGCCTATGTAGTAGAACAGGGTTTCCCAATCTTGGGGTCCCAGATGTTCTTGGACTAAAAGCCCCAGAAGCCTTCACCAATCGCTGTGGTTGGCCAGAATTTCTGGGTGTTGCGATCCAAGAACATCTGGGGACCCATGATTGGAAACCACTGGCTTGGAAGGTTGTTGTAGGTCCAGTAGGAGGAACATCTGACCCTCCAGAGGCCGGACTGCAATTCCCAGAATTCGTGGCCAGCAGAACTAATGGAAAGAGATGATGTGACTTGAAGTACAGCAACATCTGGAGGCCAACACCACCTCCACTGCTCTTGTAGAGCAAGATGAGAAAAGTCTGCAAGCAGGTAGGGAGTCTCTGGCTTTCTTCTCTCCCCCTTTCTCCCATCACCTTGAGTCCCTCCCTGGAAATCCTCCCTTCTGTATTTAACCAGAGAAAAGACTATGACAGTATAGACACCTTTTTACAACATCTTTATATCTGCAAGAATTGCATGCATGCCTGCCTGTAGGCACAAAACATCTTCAACCAAAATGTTCATTTTTACTGAGCCTCACCTGATAAATTCTTATGATGTAAGCCAAGAACGACAAGGTTTTGATCTGTGCAGCAATGAAGTCAGCATACAGTTCTTTATTGTAAAGTTTATGCTGCCTGAAAATAGAAAACGGATTCAATTATGTCTTTCGGGGAGAAAAGTGATTACGTAACAAAAGTTTAAATGAGGTATAGGCAACCTGAGGACTTCCAGCTGTTTTGGCCTGATGGGGCTCCATCGTTCTTTAAATATTGACGCTACTGGCTATAGATCAATGGTTCCTAACCGTGGAGTCCCAAGTGTTATTGGACTAAAACTCGCAGAATCCTTTATCACTAGCTGTGTTGGTCAGGATTTCTGGGAGTTGTAGTCCAAGAACATCTGGAGACCCAAGGTTGGGAAGCACCACTTTACACAATGAGATCTGTAGTCTAAACCAGAGGTCCCCAACCCCTCATTATCAGTCCGTGGCCTGAGCTGGACTGGTCCGCAGAAAGAGACCTCCCACCCACCCCCACACACAGCCCGTTTGCGCCGGCACGGCCGTACAAGAGAGCGCTCCTTCACGCATGTGCACGAGCAGAGGAGGGGAGAGACCTCCCACCCACCCCCGCACAGCCCGTTTGCGCCAGCACGCCCGTACAAGAGAGCGCTCCTTCACACGTGTGTACGAGCACAGGGGGGTGTCACGCCTTCCCTAGCCGGTCTGTGGGGCTAAAAAGCTTGGGGACAACTGGTTTAAACATCTGGAGGGCATCAAGGTGCCTATTCCTTCCATCCACACTCTCCCCCCAAAAGAGGCCTTCCCACTGGAGAAGGACCATAAGAATGGGTCACACATCTGTAAGACAGGGTGTCACGCCTTCCCTAGCCGGTCCGTGGGGCTAAAAAGGTTGGGGACAATTGGTCTAAACATCTGGAGGGCATCAAGGTGCCTATTCCTTCCATCCACACTCTCCCCCCAAAAAAGGCCTTCCCACTGGAGAAGGACCATAAGAATGGGTCACACATCTGTAAGACAGAGCAGATACAATACGCACCTACCAACAGTTTAACCGGCAGTTCAAAACAAAGAAAAGTTATCTCAAGAGAACAGACTGTTGTGCAAGAAAGCGGCTGAAATAAACCAGTGCCTTCATGTGCATTATTTCTACCCACTCAACTGAGATGAAACCGACCGTAAGAGTTTTGGTGCAATGACTGTGGTTTGCTTAAGAAACTCTCACTACATTCAAGGTCGTTTCTTCCAAATGAAGAGCACCTAAGACTGCAGACGTGGGCAAGTTTTGTAAAATGAATCAATAAATAGAAGTCTAGCAGGAAAGCTATGGAAGCGACTCCTCATAATTTATAATACTACAGATCTAATGTAAGGTGGCTGTAACCCTGCAATCCCATAATATAGCGTGGGTTACAATTCCCACCCATACCCAAATAACAAGATTAATTTTATTTAAGAAAATTTTATTTAAGTCTCAAGAGTTACTAATGGATTAGAAAACTGGAATTAAACCAATGGTGAAGAATCATGGGAGTTGATGTCTAAAATACCTGGAGGGCAAACAAGTGGGAAAATCTGTCTGTTTTTTTTTTAAATAAGGCTTCTGATGCTCTAAATCTTTTCAGGCAAAGCCAATTTTTTTATCCTAACTGGAGTAGACCCATTATAATGAATGGAATTTCTCACCCAATGCTACAATAAATCCTAACAGCTTCCAGGGGAGGAAAATGTTATTTAAGTCTCAGAAGTTACTAATGGATTAGAAAACTGGAATTAAACCTGTGGATCTTTGTGTCTCTTGTCACAATGGACTAGTAACTAGCAGGCAAAAGTTGTTTCCTGAATAAATCATTTTCCATTCCTGCCATTGGGAGTTTGCTAACGTGGCTAAAACACTAAGTATTTGCTAAAAATATATATGTGTATTTATTTATTTGTTTGTTTGTTTGTTTATTTATTTTATATCCCGCCTAGCTAGTCAACTCAGGACCACGCTAGGCGGCTAACAATCAGAGATTAATAAAAAATAAACATGTATAAAACAACATAAATAATACTACTAAATATATATATATATATATTGCTCTCTAGCCTTACCTTGCTTGTGTTGAAACTTGTATAATAATAGTGTTCATGATCAAGGGAACAAATTCAGCTACCACATTATGGATGTTCAGTTTATACAACTAAAGAAAGCAAACAGATGAACATGTAAGAGAAAACAATTGAGCATTTTGTCTCTACACTACTTTGAGAACACACACAAGGAGTTTAACGCTTTAGGCATCTGAAGTCACATCTACAAACCATCTAGCTTTCAGCTAACAGAAGTACAGCAGTTGGCAAGGGAAAGCAGAGATAATAAAGGCTTAGAAATAATTTCTCACAAGTAGTTCATTCTTGTAACTATGGCATAACTAAGTTACATTAGTTTTTCTTCAGATAACTTAACTCCTTTTTGTAATATAAGTAACTTCCTACAATGAAGTTTCTGCTATGTCTACCACTCTGATGTGCATGTCAAGACCACAACAAAGTGAACTAGAGGAGGGGTGTTTTCTACCATCTGCCAGCAACTTGTGGTATTACAATGTATTTTTAACTAAACAGCAATAGCTAACCTAGTATCTGATGTGCATGTCAAGACAACAAAGTGAACCAGAGGAGGGGTGCTTTATACCACCTGCCAGCAACTTGTGGTATTGCAATGTATTTTAACTAAACAGCAATAGCTAACCTAGTAATATTAAAGAGCCAGAAAAGTAAAGGGTTATTTTCAAAGTACAGTGGTGCCTCGCAAGACGAATGTAATTCATTCCGTGAGTAGCGCTGTCTTGCGAAATTTTCGTCTTGCGAAAAGCGGTTTCCCATAGGAATGCATTGCAATGCATTCCTATGGGAACCTCGCAAGACGAAAATAATTCATTCATCTTGCGAGGCATCGGTCTTGCGAAAAACATTTGCCTTGCGAAGCACGGTCATAGAAGAAGCCGTCTTGCAAGGCACCACAGCGATCGCAAAAACCATTCGTCTTGCGGGTTTTTCGTCCCGTGAGGCGTTCATCTTGTGAGGCACCACTGTACTGTAACTACACTGTTGACAGGCTACTTTGAGGGGCCTTGAAAATATTCACTCATTTTTAAGAGTAACTCGCCCAGTTACATGAGATATTTATGTGAAAAGTTCCCATACTTACCTGATACATGAGAACAACAATAATAGGCAGCTCGGCTAACACTTTCAAAGAGAGAGACCCTCGAGGAATTATGGAATGCTGTCAAAACATAAGCAAACTTCAGACAGAGGCAATGGTAAATGTTTCAAAAACATGATTTTCAAATTTTCCCTGTCGTTCAGATCCGTGGCTAAACATCTCAATGCAGTTTCTAAATTTCACCTGGCATTTACACGTCTCTTTTTATGCTGCTTCTGTAGACTCAATTATGGTAAATACAGTAATTTACTTTTGCTTCAAAAATTGCCTTGAAATTTTGCTTTGTAAATTTCCCCGAAGGAGGGATCTCTGGGCTTGAAGGACCAGGTACCAAAATCTAAAGCCCCAAATTGGTTGTGGTGCATGTCTTTGCCAGTCCCCCTCTTTGGGGACCCCCCCTTGGCACTGATCAGGTTCACACCCGATTTGTTCCAGCACAGAAAGAGCGTAAACAAGAACAATATTTCGAAAATAAAACTGTTGCCTATACGCACCGTTCTTGTTTCACTGTCATCTCGTTCGGGATTTACTTTCACGGCAATCGTGGTGATCATACCGACCATTTCGGGGGTTGGAACTGTATTCTCAGGGATGACCTGAGGGTTCTCGAAATACCGATTCTGTCACACAAAACGAGACGAAACAGAAGCGACCCAGAATGTTAGCATCACGAAGCAGAGTTGCAGATTTCAAAAGGATTGGAATTAAAACTAGTTCAGGGCTTTTTAGCTGCGCAAGATCAAGGTAGGGGATTTCAAAGTCCATCTGCATTTCATTCATTATCAGGAAAACAACACAAACAGCACCTACCACTACTTTTGGAAGTTCCTTGTAAATCTGTTTAACAAAATCCAAGAAATGGTGTATCTGTGGAAACAAATGAAAAGCAATGAGTCCATTTCAGGGAGAAAATAAATTGCAATCTACGTCAGGGGCTTTCTTTCATTAAACAATATTACAAGCAAAGAATTACATTTTAACAGGCTTTTAAAATAATTTGCAAATGAATATTAACACAATTCTTCTATATATCACATGTTCTGACATGAATAAAGGGAAAAAAGCAAAAGACAGTGACAGCCAGAATGCCCTATACAGTGGACCCTCGGCTTACGGCATTAATCCGTATTGGAATGGTGGCTGCAGGTCGAAAAGTCTGTAGGTCGAGGCTCCATTGACCTACAATGCACTGAAAACCGATTAATCCATAACCGGCCGTTTTTGTTCCATTTTGGTTTTTTTCTGGTCTGTAGGTCGATTCTCCGGCTGCAAGTCGAACCTAAATTTTGCAGCCAGAGAAGTCTGTAACTCAAAAAGTCTGTAAGTGGAGCCGTCTGCATGTCGAGGATCCACTGTACTATCTCAGCATATTAAGGGGGCGTAAGAGCCTCCATTTCTTTATTTCAAACTACAGCACTGCCTCACATTGTGACGTTAATTCGCTCCAGCAAAATCGCTGTTGAATGAAAATGTCGCAATGCGAAATAAAAAAGCCAATAAAAACGCATTAAAATGCGATTAATGCGTTCCTATGGGCTTAAAACTCACAGTTCAGCGAAGATCCTCCATAGCGCGGCCATTTCTAGTGCCTCTTAAGCAAGGAATCCATCCCAGAAAACAGCGGGCGGCCATGTTTTTTCCTGGCAGCCATTTTGAAACCACCAATCAGCTGTGCGAAAATGGTCGCTTTGCGATGATCGGTCATCGCAAAGCGAAAATATCCCATAGGGAACATTGCAAAGCGATTGCAAAAGCGATTGTAAAATGTTCGTCACAAAGCAATTTCGTTGCTAAACGGAGCGATTGCTATGCGAAGCACCACTGTATTTAGCTTTCAAGAGCAGGCTTCCATGCGATATTGTACAGATGAAATCCATCTGGGCACATTTCTCCATCTCCTAGCTAACAGCTGCAAACCACTCTCATAAAAACCAAGGAGAGCCCACACAAACAACAGGAGACTAAAATATCATATATATAACCCTCTCAGCTTATATGATCCGTCACGGGACAGAACCCTTGAGCGTCTAGAAACCACGATTTGATTTCAATCACAAAACTGGATTTTTTATGATTTAATTTTTAAAAAAATCATTTTAAAAAATTTAACTCATGTTTTAAATCACAGTTTAAATTGATGTGTTGGGTTTTTTAAAATTGATTTTCTCCCCACCCTGGAAATCAGGCATTCCCCAAAGGAAAAAGATGAAGCATGACCAAGAAACTGAAAAGATACGGGCACAACTGTACCCTCCGTCCATAAAATCGACTGCCCCTATGTGCTGAACACCTTAATCTACCATTGTTTCCTAAAACCCTCACAGATTCATGAATGAGATGTCAGCGCTGGCACAGTTCTGCTGCCTTATTTCAACACCAGCCCTCCAAAATCTGAACCTATACAATTTGATATTTAAAATTGGAAAGAGCAAAGGATCTAAAAAATATCCAAATGAGGACTTGCCTCCAAAATAAGAGTCACTAGTACAAAAGGCACTGTGACATGACTCAGACTTGATATAAGACACGACTCAGATTTTCAATGATTTGGACTCAACTCGCGAGTTGGAACACGCACCCTGCCCCTCCCTTTTTTTTCTGGGGCAAAAAGCTTATTTTTAATAGGGACTCCAACGTGGGCCTTGGTAGCAAAGACTCAGACTCGGACCCAAAGTCAAACCGACATCCATTCCTAAAAGTCTCAGGAAGGGACATTAAGAAAGTAAACTCACCTCTTGTGTGATGGGTGGCCGGAACTGTTTGTGCAGTTCAATAATGATCCTCAAGCAAATAAGCACATTTTCTTCATTTTCAGTCTAAATAGGGGAAAGGAGCAGATGAAGTCATGAGCAAAATCCTGAACACCTTCTAATTAGTTTATGTGAATTAAGTTACACACTTTACATAATATCCAGGAAAGGGTGTCTGAGTACAGAGTACTCAGAAGTGGTTTACCCTTCCCTTCCACCAGGGGCGCTGTGGGACTGTGCAGCTGGCCCAAGGCTACACAGGCTGGCTCTTCTTCCAGGAGGCATACTGGGGATTTGAACTGCCAACCTCTGCAGCCAGACACCTAAACCACTGAGTTCTCCAGCCAGCAACCAGATATTTAGGACTGCTTATTTAGATCCAAGAATGACAAAATGTCAGGGGTTACAGTCTCCCGTGATATGTCACCCTTCTCACAAATACAGTGGTGCCCCGCATGACGATGATAATCCGTTCCGTGAAAATCACTGTTTAGCGAAATCATTGTCATGCGAAAACCATTTCCCCATTGGAATGCATTGAAACCCATTTAATGCATTCCAATGGGGGAAATACCTTGTCATTTTGCGAAGATCACCCATGACGACAACATTTTGCGAGCGCCAATCAGCTGTTTTAAATCACTGTCTTCGACGACGACATTTTGCGAGTGCCAATCAGCTGTTTTAAACCACTGTCTTGCAAAAAACAGGCCCGAAAACACCCATTTTGCGAAGATCAAGCTGCCAATCAGCTATTTTAAATCATCGTCTTGAGAATAAACTGTCCGCGAAATCATCGTCCAGCGAAACTCCCCCATAGAAATCACTGTTTTGCAAAACAAAATGGTGGTCGCAAAATGTCGTCGTCATGCAGGTTCGTCGTTTTGAGGGATAATCATCTTGCCTGGTACCACTGTACAAGCTTCCAAACCCCTGAGAACCATCCTCCAATCAGCAGTCTACTGCTCATGTACCTGTTTTTTTTACTGCTTCTATTCTAGCTCCAGCTACCCTAACTACTGTACGAATACAGTATGAACAATATTGTTTCAGATGTCCAAAAAGAAAAGGACTGAATAGTTAACAAAGAACCTAAAAGAACATTGGAGAGTCTGAAACAGCAAGTAGAATTGCATACAAGTGCTTAAGAACAATAAAACGTCACAGTGATGTTTAACCAACTTCGCATTGTATCCAGTCACCCTCCCAATTACGAAATTATAAAGAGTGGAAAATCCATGTCAGAACTAATGCTAAAAAAATTCTGAAAAGACTAGAGTACCTCTAGAAATCTGAACATCACGGATAAGACGTTCTTGGTGTGAGGGCGCAGATGTTCATTTGTTGGTATTCGATGGATTATTTCCAGAACTAATTTTCTCAGTTGCTGGGAAAAGGGAAGGAGGAAGGGATTACAACTTCAAAACAGGAGGCACAATGCAGGATAAAAAGGCATATTCTGTCAAAAACTTCATTTTAAATAAAACATTTGCAGTTAAAAAGCCAACATGAATAAAAACTTCCTTTCAATTTCAGACCGATACACAAACTTCTTGACAATTATATAACATGTCCATTTGTTGAATCAGAAAAGTAGTAATAAGAGGTACTGACTCATATCAAGATATATAAAGAGTGTTAGCAATACAGTTTGCAGAATTATCAGCTGATTATTTTTTTCAAAGCACAGAGGAAGGAACCAGAGAGAGTCTATTGAATCGGTCTTTCACTTGCATGAGATAGAAATCAGGAGAACCCAATGGCTGAAATCCAGCAGTGTAACGTGCGCTGCTTAAGGCTGTTATAATCATCCACGGCAGCTTTTCAGAAAAATGTCCCATTCCCCTCAACCAAATGTCCCTAGGCTCCTGTAGAATCCCCTTAATCATCAGAAACAATTTGGGAATCACAGGACATGAGAAAGAGACCTTCAATTTCCTACATTCAGCACCATCCCACCAGCAGCGTTTTTCAGTAACTCAAGACTTCCTCCGCCTGTCCTGCAGCACCCAAGGACATCTTAGCCATGAAAATAATTCCACAGGAGCCTCTGAACCTTAAGGGAAGAAATCAGAAATGTTTTATTTCTGAAAAATCACTGCTGCTGATGACATCAGAAGCCTTGCATAGTGCAGTTGCACAAAGAGGATTACAGCCAAAGTTTTCAAAGTAATACATTTCAATTTTTTTAACATTAAAACTCAAAGGGAGATACAAAAGAATTTGTCTGCAACCTGAAAGACATAATCCACTGTTTATTGTTCCACCCCCTCTATAATGACCCCAGAGAAAGATTATTGTCACTTATTATCCAGTCGTTCCCTAACTGCACACCCAAGAAATTAGTATTAAGATTGTCAGAGATGCTCAAAGAAGAGCATGTTTTTAAAACATGCAGTTTAAAAATGTATGTTTCTAAGACCTGGATTTTCTTTTTATATCATACGTTGCATATTGAAAAGGCCTATGGCCATAAACAATAAAGTCTTGACTGACTAACACTAAAACTTTAACATTAAAGCATGCTACCGGTGACAGAAATTATAGCTCGTGCAACTGACCGATGAAATTTACAACAGTTTCAGGCTGTCTACCACACCACAATTTGTTTCCAAAGTATACCTGTGCGGGTTTCTCCTGCAGAAACTGCACTTCTCCGTCTTGAAGAAAGGTGAGAAATCGAGGGATGATGTGCTCCAAAAATGTTGAATACTGGGGAGATGATGTCACATTCTAGTACAAAGAAAACAGAAGCATCTCTGTTTTTGAACATGCAGGCAATGCAGAATTCAAAGTTTTAAGTCTTCTGGCATCAGAAAGCTTCACAACGGACCCCTGACAATGAAAGTTAACCCTCCAGTTGCTGCAATCAATTAAAAAGTCTTCAACCAGCTACTGCACAAATCACAGCTTAAAGGAGTTGTGTCCTTGACAGAAGGCACTCTCTCAGCAAAACTGGAAGTAGGGTGGTCCTGCTTTATGCACCCTTTAAACCTGTTAAGAAATCTTCCAGAGCAGGTTTCCAAGCAGCGCAAAGAACTTCAACAGAGAGAAAGGAAATCTTGCTATGCTAGAGGATTTGATTCTGGATGTAATACCCATATTCCTAAACTTATTTTGAAAACGCAGCAGCCAACTCGGGGGTCCAGAAGAGGATAAGGAAGGAGAGCGCAAGAGGGCATTGTGCCTAAAACCCAGCTATCATCTCCTCGATCCTATCTTTTAGCTCATACACACATCTCCAATGAGCCTAATTAGACAAAGAGTCCTCAGAGATGGATGATGGAGTTATTCACATTTGTCCTGCTTGAAACCCAGTTCTTCGTATGAGGAACAAAATTCTGATATCCATCTGTGACATCGCAAAGGACCAACTATGGGGAAGGGAAGATATAAAATGGATGATCACAAACTCCTTCTATGAACTTAAGTAACTTCTTCATTAAATATTGTTTGGGATCCTATCAGAAGTAGAAGGTGTGTGTGAAAAGAATCCCAGCCAAAATACGTTTCTGACTTATACAGTGGTGCCTCGCTTGACGACGATAATCCGTTCCGTTGAAATCACTGTTAAGCAAAAGCGTCGTCAAGCGAATTTTAAAAAACCGATTGAAATGCATTGAAAACCGTTCAATGCATTCCAATGGGCTAAATACCTGCTCGAGTTGCGAAGATCCTCCATAGGGCGGCCATTTTCCGGTGCCTGTAAAGCGAGGAATCCGTCCTAAAGCACAGTGGGGAGCCATTTTGCACAGCAGGCAGCCATTTTAGAGCCGCCAATCAGCTGTTTTAGAACCATCGTCTAGCGAAAAATCGGTTCCCGAAGCAGGGAACCGATCGTCAAGTGAATTTTCCCTATCTAAACATCGTTTTGCGATCGCTATTGAGATCGCAAAAACCTCATAGTAAAGTGGATTCGTCATTTAACGAGGCAATCGTTAAGCGAGACACCACTGTATTTCAGAACTTAGAATGTTCCTTTCTGGTAAAATAATTAATGTCATCCTGACAGCCACTGACAACTGGAAAATGGTAGATACCCAGGGGGCATACAGCATCATCCTAATTCTGCTGGATGGTTGCAGCATGTCTTCATATTCATTCAATGGTTCCGAGTTGTCTTAATTCAATTTCAATTCGATTTCAGGCCGCTGTGCTGCATGGCTTAGACCGAGCCATCTTGCCCAGGGGATGAGCCGCTTTTGGCCAGCCCAGGGACTAAGCTTCGGCCCCAGAACCCTCTAGGAACCACACAGGATGCTAAAAATGCAAGTGGATCCAGACGTCTATACCCAGATTGGAAAAACTAGTATTGGGAAGATGCTGAATCATGCAGGCGGGCTTGTGATTGACTTGAACACACTCCTGGAGGTGCTACAAACTGCAATTCGCTACACTCATCTAAATTTATACTGTAGGCTTATCACACTGTAAATCAAAAGGAACAGCCTAGTCCCCAACGAGAACAGGCTCCTGAATGTCAGACCATCTTTGCAATTAAGTCTGTTTCCACAGTCACTTCCGTGAAAGCTTGGGAAATGGTGGCCTCCTGATCTTTCGGACTTCAGTTTCCATCAGCCCCAATAGCCTAGTAAACGGGAAAGAATGATGGAACATGGTGTTCAACATCTGGAGGCTCACAAATCCCACAGCTCCATGGTGGATTTTAAAAAAATCATTTAAAAATAGATTTAAATCATGATTTAATTGTTTAGAAATGTTTTTACTTAAATTATCAAAAAAAAACAACTTTTAAAATTTAAATCGTGATTTGAATCCATTGGATTTAAATCAAATCCACCCTGCTCAGCTCCCAACTTAAATGCAGAAGAAGCCTGAGGAATGGAGCGCAGAAGGATTTGCTAAGATACCTCCTCAAACTGACACTCAGAAAATCCAGGCGAAGGAGGAAATTCTACATCACGCCAAAACCGTGACACAACAGCAGGGATGAAGGAAGGGTTGTTACCTCAAAGTTCTCGCTGACTTCTTGCATCATCTTGAGCTTTGTTTCATCGGCTGGGAGGGCAAGAACAAAAAAGCAATGACAAGGTTCAAGAGATACGAAAGGACACTCGTTTGACCCAAGAGATACGAAAGGACACTCGTTTGACCCAAGCTGGCCTCACTTCCAGAAGCAATCAGATCTTATCAGTTTGGCTCTCATCACCCCAAATAGTTGTCAAGTACCGCAACTCTCAGTCACACATCTTCACTCGCTTCTCTCACACACTCACACGCAAATTATTTTTGTAGGGTTCAAGGAAATATTGATCATCATTTTGCTTCTTTCTTAAAAGCAGGGGCAATGTCGATTTCCAAACTTTTTGGACCACAGCAAGCCACACATGTTCCTGATTCTCTGCAAACCTTATTTGCTTGTCAGACACCGACCCAAATTACACCTTTATTTGTTTATTTAAAACATGTTTTCCCCTCTTTTCTCCTTAAGAAGGACCCAAGGCAGCTCTGATCATTAAAAGACAATATTTAAAGCTAAAAACAGTAAGTTTAAGTAAGCCACTATGGGTTCTTTTTAAGGAGAAAGGGGAGGATAAAAACATGTTAAATAAATAAATAAATATAGAAATATAGAAATACAGTGGTGCCCCGCATAGCGACGTTAATCCGTTCCAGGATTAACATCGCTATCCAGATTTGTCGCTATGCGGGGGGAAACGCATCGCTATGCGGATTCATCATTAAATGGTGCGCTCGTTAAGCGAGGCACCACTGTAAATACTGCAACCCCACCCGGACAGCACATAGGAGAACTCAAATGCTGGCTTAATGGAAGCTTAATGTTACTCTGGGGCCCTCTTCTTAAGCCAGTTCAAATCCTGCTTTCAGACAATAACCATGTCTGCAAGAAACATTCGGACAAAATCCTTCAGAGGCCAACCTGAGAGATTCTGTAAGAAACAAGCAGGCAGTACATGCTACCTGATTACTCCTGCTTGGCTTTTCTTGCAGTAGCTCTGTAGGAACCTACCAGAGCAGCAAAGAGGACAGGAATGTCTGAACGCAGCTCCCTTCTAAGAAGTGACCGTTCGAAGGCTGGGTTGTTAGAGAAGCATCAAGCCATGGCCCAGACGAAAACGCTGTCCTTTCGCATCCCGATTTTTATTTTTTTTTTTTTTTGGTGAGCATGCTTGGAGGAAGAGCCAAGCAGGAGAGGTTGGTGTGCACAAGTAAGAGACAACGCGGGAGAAGTCTGGCTAATGATCATGTGCAAATGCAGCCCCAGGTTAAGCCAGGCTCAATGGCGAACATCAGCCAAACCTAGCTTTGGAAAGAGGTAACGTTCTAGACCTCCATACAGAAGGTAGACCCAGCTAGGGCACACCCGTTGAAGAAATCGGATTTACAAAAGTGCTGACTTGATGGGTCTCCTCGTTTTGGAAGGTTCAGCTCGATTTGGGCTCTAATTGCACTACGAATCAACATGGGCCGGGAAGAGGAATGGGGGGGGGGGTGTCATGTCTCCTCCAAGACTAGCTCCTGGATCTTCAGACCACAATGAGTGCCCTGGCTTAATCACAATAAGAACCCAACCAAAAGCCAGGAAAATCACCCCAAAAATAAACTCACGTGTATTAACATCTGTCAGGGCGGCCACAAACTGAAGGTACTTTTTCATCAAAGTCGTTTGGTCAACCACAGTCGGTCCTTGAGTTGAAACGAACGCCATTGTCGCTTTTAAGTGCTTGTTCGGGTGTAGGCAGAAATATATATATATATACAACCTGAGGAATTAGCCACCCTGTTAAAAAGAAAATGCAGAATTATTTTGTCACCTCCATCGCTAGCGGAGACCTGCGCGCACACCGATTTATTCATAAAACCGTGTAACTGTTCAGCTGGACCCACGTCAAAGGCATTTGTTTTATTTATTCGTTCGTTAACTGAGATCCTGGCAGAACCAAAATAAATAAAAACGCAACCATTGAAATAGAAATCTGTTACATCGTTAAAGCACATCTGAAATTAAGACCCCTTGATTAAAATATTTTGCCTTAAGGAAGAGAAGACTGACACATTAGCTAGAACCTTTTGATTTAAAGATCTTCATTACCAATGGCCTGGCTAATTAAAAAGCTCTTTTCTTACCAAGAGAAAGACAGCAGGGAGTGGAAATCCACAGCTAAAACATCCTTGACAAATGGCCACCCAGCTTCTGTTTTAAAACCTCCAATAAATGAGTTTTGTTGCTGCATTCTCATATGCTGTCACGTTACCTCCGAATTATGGCGACCTTATGAATGGCTGATCTCTGAAATGTCCTATCCTCAACTACCCTGCTCAACCCCTGTACACTCAAGCCTGTGGCTTCCTTTAGAGAGTCAGTCCATTTTACATTTGATCTTCCTCTTTTCCTGCTTCCTTCCACCTTTCCCAGCTTTATTGTCTTTTCCAGGGAATCCTGTCTTCTCAATGTAGTCCATCATCCTTCTAAACAGCTCTTAGGGTTAGAAAAGTCTTCCTAACAATTAGCAAATTTGTGAATAGTTCATTTTGAATTTAGGGCTCAAAAGTGAACCCTAAGTTGGTTGTTGCAGCAACACAACCAGTGTGTCATAAAAAAACACAACCCTAGTCAAAGACCCTTGCTGTCGCTTTGTGCCTCAATGGATATTTTCGACAGCAGCCCCATCCACCACAACCACCAAACTCATGTTACAAATGTGAAGGCGTGGAGAAAGGAAGAAAAACAAAGGAAATTTCAGGGAAAGGGAAGGATGGTTTCTCCCATCTCCAGAGAGAATTTTCAATTTTTCCACATGCTTAGACAGCACAAGATGCAGTGGCCTTACATCTCTGTATTCAGTCTACAGGAGCAATATGTAATCTTCTCCTGCTCAAGGGCCTTTTGCAGAAGTTAACAAAAGGGACAGAATCTCTCTCGGGGGGGGAGAATGAAAATATACAATCGTGCCCCGCTTAACGAGGAAACCACTATATGGTGAGGTTTTTGCGATGGCAATTGCGATCGCAAAACGATGGTCTAAATGGGAGAATTTCGCTTAGCGATGATCAGTTCCCTGCTTCTGGAACCGATTTTAAGATCAAAAACAGCTGATCGTCGGGTTTCAAAATGGCCACTGGCTGAAGAAAATGGCCCTCCGCTGTGCTTAGGACGGATTCCTCGCTGCACAGGCATGGAAAAGGGCCGCCCCTATGGAGGATCTTTGCTGGACGGTGAGTTTTCAGCCCATTGGAACACATTGAACGGTTTTCAATGCATTTCAATTGGGTTTTTTTATTTCGTTTAATGATGTTTTCGCTCTACAGCGATTTCGCTGAAACAAATTAACATCGTCAAGCGAGGCACCACTGTACATGCAAAATTTTCTATGACACCTTCAGTACAAATGGATTTTTCCCTCATCCACGCAAGCTGTCTAAATGTATGACTATATAAACAGTTCCACTCTTATGTCCTGAGGAAGTGGAGTTGTCCACAAAAGCTCATGTTAAAATACAGCCGTTAGCCTTTAAGGTGCCGCAACATTTCTGTCGTCTTCTTTTTTATTGATCTCTTCGTTTTGCATGATCATATATACAGGAGTGATACTTAATCTCCTTTTTCCTCACCGACCTCTTGAAGAAGTTGACGAAAGGGACAGAACCCCTCCGGGGGGGGGGCAAGAAAATATGTGCAAAATTTTAACACTTATGGTACAAAAGGGTCTTTCTCACAGATAGAATTTTTTACACCTATGTGGACCACCATACAGAAAATCCGAGGTGCAAAGAACAAGCCAAAGTGGGAACACCGAGGAAAGCGAAGTGATTCTTCCACAACCTTGTGATGCACACATCCATACGTAGTGTCATAGATCCATTTCAATACCACATAGTGGGGGGGAAACCCTTGGCATTTCTTAACTACCCTCCTGTGAAGGAAATGCCACTGAATAAGGCAACACACTTTTGTGAAGCTCCAAACCCAGGAATGCTGTTTGAAGAAAATGCCACTGAATAAAGCAACACACTTCTGTGAAGCTCCAAACCCAGGAATGCTGTTTCTCTCTCTTAGCAAAATTCTCTCCAAACCGATGAACGTCTGACCTGCACCCTGTGCATACAGTAAAGATGCAACTTGCAATCGTGCAGCAAAATTCTCTCCAAACCGATGAACAACGTCTGACCTGCACCCTGTCCATACAGTAAAGATGCAACTTGCAATCGTGCACAGATTCTACTAAAACTTACAAAAACGTGGTTATGACCTTTTGTGGCAAAAACCGACAACAAAGCACGGAGAGGAGGGAGGCTGAGACTTTGATTTTAAGACAAAAGGCAGGCACACGGCCCCTTACTCTTTAACCACCTCACATATGCCCCCCACCAAAACTAAGAGCAAATAACCCAAATAAATAATCAATTTGTAGCCTGGATCCATTTGTAACCCAAATGAACAATCCATTTGGAACTGAATCTCTGGAGGGCCTGTGCAAACCCAGCTCTCATTCCCTGTTGTAGAGGGAAAATTGAGGCCAATTCGGATACGTCAACAGAGAACCTTTAAGGCTGATGGATGCAAGCAAACAGCCTTTTCTCTTACAGCACTCTTCGTAAGCTTTTGATGGAAAAGCCCTCGTCCTGCGCTCTGTGTTACAGAAACAGCACCCACGTTCCTTCCACACAACAGCTTTCACCCAAACCGAACCCAGCGCTCAAAATGATTTGGGAACGGCATCGACGGGCATGACACTTTTCAAAAAAAGCTACTGAGCCACAAAGCTCGCCCGGCAAGCAGCCACGCCGTTTCTCAGCCAAGCCTACCTCGCAGGGGTATTGTGCAGAAAACCGATGCAGGGGGGAAAGTGTGTTTTCTGCGCAGAGAAGCACGGAAGGCACCAGACAGCCGAATGGAGAAGGGACACTGCTGTCCCAAAAATGAACAATTCCAACACCCGACAGGCAGATTCCAATGACCCACAAGGTGGGAAAGAAAGAGAATATCCAGTATGAAAGGACTTTGAATTATTTATTCTGCAGAATGCAGGAGGACACATGAGTTAATTCCCAAACAACATTTCTTGGAGTTTATAGATGTGTGCCAGGGTTTATATAGCCTACTAGTTACGTATCAATGACCTTGTCTGCCTTCCTCATTAGGCTAATATAGCTGATCTCTGCTTTAGGTGGCATCTACCCTATCTCCAATCTGGCAAGCTAATACAAAACAATATTCCTTCTACTAGGCACAGACATGATTGCAAATGAGGTTCTCGACATTGTGGCATTTGGGTGGAACCTCCTGCCACCCACAGCCGGCCGAGCAAATGGTCCGGACCTCAAGCCCAAAGTACAAACGGGAGACTGAGACTCAAGATGAATAAAAAAAGCTGGCAAGGCAGATTTTATTCTTATCTAAAAAGCTCAGCCTCGACGCGTTTCGGCAGTGGCCTTCTTCAGGAGAGAAGAATAAAATATCTATTAACTTAGAAACAGCAGGCTTGGGACACTTACAGCTGTTTTTTCCCTTATCCCTACAGTTAGCATTATAACAAGATCCATAAACTCCCAGTACAGTGGAATGACAGCATATATAAGGTATTTATTTATTTATTTATTGTATTGTATTTATACCCTGCCTATCTAGGTAAGCATATATAAGGTACATACCAAGGTTTAAGAACTTTTGCTTCTCCTTTGGTCTCTGCCAGCTCCAACATTAATCCAAAATGCAAATGCAAAAGAGGGATGGTATCTAGTTATTCTTAGCTGGCAGGCAAGCCAAGGACAGTTTGGAGATGACCAGGGAGGCACTGGGAGGGCTGTGCAATATAGGAAGGGCAAGAAAATCTACATTTTTTTAATTGAGCCCAAAAGGGGCTAATGTGCTCAAACAATACCCAAAGAAAGAACCTTATCATGACTTATTTGCTATGTTCATCATCATCATCATCATCATCATCATCATCCTCTTAGGTTGGAAGGGACCCTCTGGGCCATCAGGACTCAAGGCAAGGGGCTCGGCTCTCTCCACCCACACAACACCCCTGCGAGGTAGGCCAGCCTGAGACAGCATGAAGTCTCTCCCCCCTCCACAAACACTTCCGGGCTCCACCCCCTTAAAGGCAACAAGCAGGCCCGCTGGCCAATCCCCACCGACCTTCAGCACCGGGCCCCGCCCAGGCCACAAGCCCCGCCCCTGCGGGCT